TTCTTTAGACACTGTTAATCGACACATTGCAGAGTCTTCTGTTCTCAACAACTTAGTTTGCATGTGTTTGATGGTCGTATTGTAACGTTTGCAGAACAACTCTTTGATGGTCATGGTCAAACAGTATGTGACTATGATTGAAGCACTGTTCCAGAAAAGGAGGGAAGGCGTTATTTAAGATGTCCATCTGGCTTGCAAGTTTGGCCAGGCGTTCAAGGGTCCACAGTTCACTTTGCAGTTGCGTCCCTTGCGTCGTTATAGAATCGGATGATCGTGGGTTCAAATCCCAGACTTGTTATGATTTGTAATTTTGGTATGATACAAGCTGATGTGAAAAATAATATTAACGAATTTAATGCTTTTGTAAAGGACAAACTGACAAGTATTGCTAACAATATGTTTTTCAAGTATGCACCATATGCATTTACTAATATTTCTTCTTCATAACCGTGAAGATCCGGATGAGAATTGATCTTCAGTAACCCGTGCTTGTCGTAAGAGGCGACTAACGGGATCGGGTGGACAGGGACACATGTAATCGTATCCCAATTGCGTAGATCGATGCTCATTCTGTTGACCACTGGATTGTCTGGTCCAAACTCGATTATTCACAGTCCGCCGCCATATAACTGGCGTTAAACAACAAACAAAATAGTATCACTACTTCAAACGTAAACGTGGATAAACATACGTACATAATATTACGAACCGAAGGATCATTAACATAACGTGTTAACTATGGTGTTCTTCGGTGATATTCCATATGAAAACATAGTGCAATAGTCGATGTGGCTGTAATTAATACATGAAAAGATTATTCACCTGGAATATCGTAGGGTTTTACATGAAATTACTTGGGGGTTATAGCTGGTAGAAGGATGCTAGTATTGAAATCGTTGCTTTACCTCGTTGATTCATATTTGTCTGACGCGCTGACAAAAGAGGATCGGGTGGCTCGTATCCATGACGCTGCTGTTTGCACCTCAATGTGCCTCAATGCCGTGCATCATTGCTCCTGCTTTCGGTCTTTGGTTTATCTGGTCGAGACCCGATTACTTATCACCCTTTAATCATTCGGTACTATGAAGGGTTGGGTGAACTGCTGCTTGTCTGCATATACAAGGTCAGTTCCCCAAGGCACATTAAATATAAGATAGAATAATTCATAATCATTCATGATTATATACTCTCCCAAAAAAGAAACGCATCATGAAAATAGCAATTTCATGTAGCAATGAATTAAAACGTGATTCATTTTACAAAAGGTTTTGCTCTGTTTATGAGTCCTATGGTGTTTATGTTTTGAAACATCACAACAAAACGCACCATCCGTAAAATACCCGTATTTAACAGCATGATTTTCAATTTCGGCGTGTAGTGTCACAGAATACACAATTCACATGCAATGCACGTGAAAGTTGGGGATCAGATAGTCTCAATGATGGGTATAAAAGGTTGATCGCTGTCTGTCGATTATTCACTGTATTTGGAATATTGTTGACGAACGCAAAATGCCACGTCTAAGTGAAGCCAACCGTCATATCGCCATTGGTTTGCTTGAAGCTGGCCAGTCTCAACGTGCAGTTGGCCCGACGCATGAATGTTCACCAAAGCACCATTTCACGGCTCTGGGAGAGATATCGCCGGCAGAATGCGGTAGCAGATGTAGCACAACTCCATCTCTGGCGATCGTGATTCATCACTGAACCAGATTCTACGCCAATTCGGTAGGTTCCAGGCCTGAACGTTGGTGCACCATTGAACTCGATGTCGACGATGTTGTTGTCGTAAGCACAGGGCCAAAATAAGGTCTTCTGGCACATAAACCAGCCTCTCTCAACCTGTTCCTGACGGTCTGTGCAGAAAGCCTCCTCAATCCAGGTATTTGTCGAGCGGTACTGGTCGCCGTAGCTGTTCGATGACGCAGGTGATGTACCCGGATGTAGCGATCCTGCGCCGCAGTGGTCGCTCGAGGTCGCCCACTACGAGGGGCATCTGCTACCGCATTCTGCCGGCGATATCTCTCCCAGAGCCGTGAAATGGTGCTTTGGTGAACATTCATGCGTCGGCCAACTGCACGTTGAGACTGGCCAGCTTCAAGCAAACCAATGGCGATATGACGGTTGGCTTCACTTAGACATGGCATTTTGCGTTCGTCAACAATATTCCAAATACAGTGAATAATCGACAGACAGCGATCAACCTTTTATACCCATCATTGAGACTATCTGATCCCCAACTGTGTATTCTGTGACACTACACGCCGAAATTGAAAATCATGCTGTTAAATACGGGTATTTTACGGATGGTGCGTTTTGTTGTGATGTTTCAAAACATAAACACCATAGGACTCATAAACAGAGCAAAACCTTTTGTAAAATGAATCACGTTTTAATTCATTGCTACATGAAATTGCTATTTTCATGATGCGTTTCTTTTTTTGGGAGAGTATATATTCAAGTTCAGCTTTGGTGTGATGATATGTACAATAGTAGTGTAATTTTTTTAAATTAGTGCTCGTGTCCAAACACACCCTGTGGAGGAATTGAACACGTGCCACATGTTGGTATTTAAAACCTGCTTGAGCTGCAATATTCAATCATCTTTCTGCCACATGGCGAACTATTGGTATATGTAACTCCGATATGTCCTTTAGCAATTGGTCGGGTAATGAATGTCCACAGCCTGTGTCCGAAATAGCCACCAGCCCGCTAGGCCGTGGCTAGTAAAAATCCAGTCGGGCCAGTAAATCTCCACAGTCACTGGCCCCACTAGCTAATGAATTTTCATGGGGTCATTTTGTAAAATATCGCTCTCGACTTGTTAAGTTATAATACACTTTTACATCATACAAGATTACGGCCTGATAAAAATGTCCATCATATTAGCAGCTTCATGATGAAACCCGTGTCATGCCGACAATATCTTATTCTCATCTACTTTTGTAATCTTTTGCTTAGTTTCTACATTCAGATTTCGGGCTAGTGAATTATTTTGTGGGCTAGTAACTTTCAGGCATAGCTATCCCGACTGGCTAGCAAAATTTGGAAACTATTTCGCACACTGTCCACAGCACAGTTGTCAGTCGTTTGGTCAGAAAGTATAGGAAACCAATGCAGTGAAGGATCGCTCACGTTCTGTACGAGCTATGGTGGCGTCAGATCGGGAAGACAGGTCACTAGTGAGGCTCACTCGAGGACAACCATTCGCGACAAGCACTGTCCTGAAGCAGCCCTGGTTACCATTTCGCAGGGTCTCTACGAGAACATTCCGGGATCGCCTAAGGGTAGCCGTGTACAACTCTAGAAGGAACGTACTCTACAGAGCGATCATCGGCATGAAGCTCGTTTGGTTTAGTGTTTACCACGGCAACGCTTGAATCTGAGGACTTAGCGAAGAATGTATTGGTCTGATGAAAGCCAATTCCTCTTCACGTAACATTCAACCAGATGTTTCCAACTAAAACCAGATGTTGCCTTTGCTGGAGGTTCCGTTATGGTTTGGGGATGTGTCTCTCATGACTGTAAACTTGGTGAGAATACGGTGATCAATATATCCAGCAAGTGCTGGATCCACTTGTTGTCCCCCATTTTGACAATCATCTTCTTGCTACAGACCGGTATTTATGGATGGCAACGCTAGATCACACCGTTCTCGCGCAGCGACACACAGCCTGCAAAGTGTCCAGATCTGAAAAACCCTTGGGCACATTTTGGATTTATCGGGCGATGGATACATGCACGTGTACCACCTCTTCAAAATCAGCCTGAGTTGGAAGCAGCTTTGCACCAAGAATGGCGACAGTTTCCTCTGTAACGGATAATATGTTTCATAAACTTACTTTTGCCGCAAATATTACATAGTCCAAACGCACGTATTGACTTTCAAAAAGCAATTTTGAAATTGTCACGAAAGAGCTTGGAATAAAATATGTATTCATTTCGCATGAAGAGGAACTAACGGTAGGGGTGTTGGATATGCTTTCGATAAACTTTGTACTGTTGCTCGGCCTGAAAGTCATTTTCGATATGCCGCCACGACGATTACGCGGCCAATGTTGAGTGAACATTCGAGTATGGAGCTGGTGAGAGTTTGTTTCAGTGATGAATCTCGTTTTACGGTGATATCGAGATGGGCAACCCGTGCATACAGTCGTCGAAATTAACGTTTTGTTCTAACACTAACGAAGTGGACATATTCGGAGAGGCACTGATATGAGTTTGTTCTTCATCCGCTAAATCCACCCTGTGCGCCTCTAAGGAAATTTCACTGCATTTCGTTACCGAGATTAATTATCCAACGCCACCTGTTCCCCGTTATCGAACCTCAGCGGGAATTGTTTCGACAGGATAATATCAGTCAGATGTATCAACAGACACTACAGCTTTGATCATGTAAAGTATAATATTAACAGAAATTAGCTTCTGTTCAGTAATATTTTATACAGAGATGCAAATATTTTCTTCCGTATGTTTCTTTCATGGGGGAGTATATGAATGGATCACTGCAAGTTAATGATGATAACAAATGATGTCCGTCTGTCCTGATCTACCGAAAGCACCTGTCGCTCACACAATTTGCATAAACAAGTGAGTGATCCAGCCTTGATTATTCATAGGTCGATGTCATATAAGTCGTGCTTAAAAAACCTCCGAAAAACCTTATGACGGCTCTCTTACAATAACTGGTAATGAGCTGTCGAAGTTTTGAAGCAGGTAATGATATACATGGTTCGCTCGTCACGCCGAAGACCCGGGTTCGATTCCCCACATACGTACAATGTGTGAAGCCCATTTCTGGTTCCCCCGCCGTGATGTTGCTGGAATATTGCTACACGCTGTGTAAGATCCAACTCACTCACACATAAACTGCATCAATATACATATTCTGCATGTCCTTCATACTGTCTTCTTGTGTGCAGGTGTTTCAGCGATGCCAAAGGGACGACGATTCGTTGCAGCGTTCTTTGAACAACCATACCAACGTGGAAACTTTCCAACATGTTCTTTGTGATTCTGTGTGAGGTGAACGCCACTGTTCACGTTGAGAGTGGATTCGGTATTTCGGAAGATTTACACATCCAAGCCATGGAAGAATACAAGTACAAAGTTAATGAAAGTTTTTATTACCAAGCCAACCTTGAGGTGACTGACATGTCATTCTACTTTTCATCCACTGAGGATATAACCCTGTTCTGTTATCATGTACTTGTTAATAGAGGAGATGGATACCTTGCCTTACCGACCGAGACATTATCGACGGAATATATCGTAGTAACACACATTGATAATCACACTGGAGATCAGATTCTACTTCCTTACACTAAGACAACACAAACTGCTTTCCTCGTCGTCGCTACGGAGGATAATACCCAGGTGAACATCAGTCTTAAGATACAAGGACCCCTTATGGCAGGTGGGTGTGGCAATGGAACATTCTTCAATGGGGAGAGCAGAACGTTTACACTCAACAGGTATCAGACTGTTGGTGCCTACTGTGCCGAGGACATTACTGGAACACTGATCACCAGTGATAAACCTGTAGCTGTGATTAGTGGACATAATATGAAGTACACCACTTTCATTAAAGATGGCATGCAAGAAATGTTACTGCCTGTAAAATCATTTGGAAGAAGCTATTACTTGCCAGTACCACCATCCATTACTGGTGGGGCTATATACAGAGTTGTTGGATCAGTAGCGTCAACCTCCGTCCGCTCCCCGTACGTCAGTAATATCAGTAATATATCCTTCTCTGTGGGTGAACGGGAGTCTCATGACATAACTGTTGACTCCACCACAGGTCCAGTGTACATTGAAGCCGACAAGCCCGTCATGGTTGTTCAGATAGCTATAAAAACACCATCACTGGCACTCGTTCCACCGACCAGTTTATACTCCAGCTCTTATGACATCGGAAAACCTGTTCTTCATGCTACATATGACCTGAAGAAGGTGTATATAACAGTCATTGTTCCAACTGACAAGGTTCTCGGAATACGTCCACAGATATTTCCCCAATTTAAGGTAATTAAAGGAAGCTGTTTCTCTGAGGCATCAGTGGAGTTGACAACACCAGGATTTTACCGCCTGACCCACGTGGATGATGTTCCATTTGGAGCCATGATGTACGTGTTTCCGTTTTCTGACACTCAGTGTGTGTTTACCCACCCGGCCGGATTAAATCTAACAAATGACGTAGGTAAGTACTGTCACAGTATCGACGTTCGGAGTAGTTGCCTCTATATACCCGAATGATCGTTGGTAACTATTTATTAAGCTGAATACATATACATGTATTAGCTGCAGAAACTGATGATATTTGAGAGTAAACGTTTTCACATATCGGTGAGAGGCAGAGTTATACGTAGTGGAAACTCCCGGACGAGTCTACAGGCACAATGTATTATATTGTATAACAGTGGAAACATTGTAACGCAACGTATAACACTGCCTCATAATGTCACTGTGTCTTGTCTGACGTCAGACTGCGGTTTGTACATAATCCAGTCTGGACCAGACAAGCCAATGATTGAAGTCATAAATATATGACATCCAGTCACAGAAACTTATCATCCAATTCTGTATATTTGCATAAATTGCGTAATCACAAAGTGGGATGTACAATTTAGACGAAAATATCTTTGACCATTGAAACTCTCGGGAAAACGGGCGAAAAAGAACGGGTATAACTGCTCATGGATGTCAGGCCACTTGCAGAGTAGATTTATACTATATTTCCATACATTGGTATTTTGAGTATAAGTCACATATACCTATATCCTAAACACACAATGAACAGATACAGTTGACATTAGGCGCTGATCATGCAAGACGTTTGGCTCGCATTGGAAATATAATAATCATTGTACAACATTTCATGTCGACAAGTGAAAAAGAATATTGAAATATCCAGTTACATTATTTAAGGTGAAATATGATTTATACCATCTTTCTATTGCTGAACCTATCATGATATATGTTTCTGTAAGAGAAAAGAAATTGCTTGTAACGTTCCATACGTTTTCCCGAAGTCAATATCAACAAGCACTAACTGCACGCTGTCCTCATATGGGAAGGAGGTTATTTAAAGTAAGGTTTTAGTATTTTAGAAACCCTGCAACCCTGACTCAGTTACTTTGTATTATAAGTTCCATGTTTTACTTGTAAAGGGTTCAACCCGTGAAGATCCGGGTTAGAATTGATCTTCAGTAACCCATGCCTGTCGTAAAAGGCAACTAACGGGATCGGGTGGTCAGCCTCGCTGGTTTGGTGGACACATTTCATCGTATCCCAGTTGCGTAGATCGATGCTCATGTTATTGATCACTGAATTGTCTGGTCCAGTATCGATTATTTACATACCGCCGCCATATAGCTGGAATATTGCTGAGTGCGGCGTTAAAACAACAAACCAAACAATCATATAAACAAATGGCAATTCAAAGTAAGGTTTCAGCTTTTAGGAAAACGTGCAACTCTGACCCAATTATTTTGTATGTTACGTTCCATATTTTACTTGGAAAGGATTCTGTTGTTCGTTATCTTCCAGACAAAACGACATGTCCAGCATCAGCGGTGTGTTCAGACGGGACTCCGTATCCTTGCACGTGTGCGTCAGGATACTTTGAATACCAGTGTTACAACAGTAAGTGCAACAGCTAGTCCATCACGTCATATGCTATTCTATTTGCTGACCGCTTCTTTGATTGGCATTCTAGAAGTTGGGTAGATGAAGGATAAGGACTATTTTTATGGATATACAACTTCTTTATTCTGTATAGGCGACGTTTCGACATAGACTCTAACGTCGTTGTCAAGCAAGTGATACATGAGAAGTAATTTTGGGTGATATATATACATGAGATGTTTGGACAATAGATGAAGGATGAGGCGAACATGAGTTGTTTATACAACAGAAGAGGCTGATAACACAGATAGTATACAGGATTAAGTAGGTTGATGGAAGCCAGTTGATGGAAGTACATGGTATTGTATTTATACCATACATATGACAAATATGGATGCTCACATCATCCAAAGCCCTTGGCTGAGTTGCGTCCCTTGGGCGTACCAGGCGCTGATGACCGTAAGTTCGATTGTTTCTAGATTTGTGAGACACCTCACCCGTGCTCGTTGGTTTCATGGAGCTGCAAACGTTAAAGAACGAAGAATAATTTGACATACCATCCACAGCTCCGTGCCTTTGCCGATCCTGTGATACTGGATACAGTGCTCCTTGTGATGGTATATCAGTTAGACATTATACGCTATATTCATATCATACCCCGTGGGGACGCAGGTTCATACAGGGTAAGGTAATGTGCCGTGTTACAACAGATAACCTAGACCATATCACACACCAAAATGTCAAAGTCAATTCATTCATTAAACATCCATCAATTCCGCATAACATTGTCAAAAGACGATTAGACGACATATTAACTCTAATATAACTCTAATTTCCTACCATCCGAGCTGCGTCGATAACCCATTATTTCTGCCTAGACAGGCCGTATCGACACTGCAGAGAGTGTACCACAGGTTTAGTTGTTACACCTCTGTCACATGACCGTCTCTATGTTGGCATTATCTTATCAGTGATAAGTACATTGAATATAAATACATAAATGAATATAACAATACAAGGTGAGGTGAAATTGGGTTTTACGTCGTGCTTGAGAATATTTCGCTCATATGTATGTGTATGTGCGGCTGCTTGTACTAGCCCAGACTGAAGATGGTTTTAGTGCTAGCCCACTGAGATACCATGCCGCAGTGAAGCATGAATATCCCACTCAGACACATTATACTGACTCCGAGCCGACCAGTCCTTGTTGTACCCATTAATGCCGAGCGCCAGGCAGCGCCAACAAGTACCGTATTTTAACGTCTTTTGGTATGACACGGTCAGGGATCGAAACCGCGACCGCCCGCTCTCCGGGCGGACGCTCAAACCACTACACCACGGAGGCGGTCCAAACAATACAAAGATAAATACGACACCGCACAATGATATATTTGAATTCAAATATCCCAAGTCATGGTTATCAGCGGTTATCGCTCCTGTCTGTTTGGATTGTTCATATCTTGTATAAGAGTATTATTAAAGCAGTGTATATTTAATAATGTGAAACACATGGGATTTTATACAAAACTCACAGTTGCAACCAAAAAAAGGAATAAACTTCATGGTAGTGTTCCTATTTTGTTCATGTTAAACCCACAGTGCAATGCAAAGCTTGAAAAGACACCTGAAACAACTATTAGTTTCCTTTACAACAGATACTGACTTTTAATGTCACGAGTTGAAGTCAGTGTGCAGTCATTGTTGGCTAATAGTCGAATCCTGAAAATATGTCGAAAGTATAGAAACTATATGTTATATCCAGAAGCTGCGACGTGTTGCTGCCCATGCTTAAACTAAAACAATAACCGGGAATCAGGTCGTAAAAGAATCAGGTGCGAAACCAACAAACAAACATAAACTGTGCTGTAATTAACTAATTTTATAAACTGAAACAAAATCCACACAAAGCTATCACGATGGCAGTACAACATTGAGTGGCAACACACATTCCGAGGTAATATAACACAGGAGCAGTGATTATAGTAATCAAGACAATGGTGGTAATATTCACCTCTCAGTGACAGTATTCCAACTTGGAAGACAGGGCCAATCACAGAGTATCCAGAGTATGATTAATCACACACAATGTTACTTGTACAATAAACCATGAACAACACTGCCAAATGACAAACTACGAAACTATAGAAACACCATGTGTCAGGTAACGAAACTATAGAAACAACATGTGTCAGGTCATGAAACTATAGAAACAACATGTGTCAGGTAACGAAACTAATAGAAACACCATGTGTCAGGTCATGAAACTATAGAAACAACATGTGTCAGGTCATGAAACAATAGAAACAACATGTGTCGGGTCATGAAAAAATAGAAACAACATGTGTCAGGTAACGAAACTATAGAAACACCATGTGTCAGGTAACGAAACTATAGAAACACCATGTGTCAGGTCACGAAACTATAGAAACACCATGTGTCAGGTCATGAAACTATAGAAACACCATGTGTCGGGTCATGAAACTATAGAAACACCATGTGTCGGGTCATGAAACTATAGAAACACCATGTGTCGGGTCATGAAACAAAAGAAACACCATGTGTCAGGTCATGAAACTATAGAAACACCATGTGTCGGGTCATGAAACTATAGAAACACCATGTGTTAGGTCATGAAACAATAGAAACTACAAGTATCTGGGTCATGAAACAATAAAAACAACACATGTGTCAGGTCACGAAAAGATAGAAACTATATGTGTCAGGTCATGAAACGATAGATACTATATAGATTAGGTCAAGCATCAAAATAACTTGGCTCGGGTTAGGTGAGCTACTGAAACCTCTGGATATTTCACAGGGGTGCATCTCAGTTGGCCTTTTCTTGGATATATGTGTGCAACCAGTTACACACGTGACTGTAGATAAACATTAAAGAACTTGAATGTGTAATTGAGTTGTATATATTCAAGCTTCAGGCGGCTGCACGGTGGACCGATGCCAGTACTCCAGTAGCTGTACTGACCTGACGACCCTGTACCAGTGTGACTGTGTCAATGGATCGGGAGGAGCTCACTGTGAGACGGGTAAGGCTGAAATAATAATAACGTATATAGAGAATACTACACTCGGAAACGAGTGACCGAGCGAAAGCGAGGTCAGAAACCATAGGAAGGTCACGAGTTTCGTATAATTCGTATGTAATGAGGCCGAGTGTGGTATTTTATTTATTACCCACGTCTTACATATATTAAATTGACAAAATATTTTTGTTATTGTTATGGTTTCAAACTGAAACCGGTTTCATAAAGAGGTTGCGGAAGAATTTTGTTCTGTAGTTCACTTTTGCATTATGTCTCACTGTACTGACGTCACTACGCCATTTTCGTCTGTCCCCTTGGTAACCGACGTCACGATGCATGTCAGTTGTCATCGCCTCGTACAGCCTCGTACAGTAAACTACTCCGTAGCATCCCTTTCTTGGTTTTCAATTGCTTCACTCGGCTAACAGCACTGGTGGACACATTGCGTTTATGTTTTTCGACGGATGTCTCAGTTCAACTCACAATTACACAGCGATACGGCAACGTTCGCAATATTTACATTCCCACAATGCATATAAGTTGTAGAATGAAGGAATTCACGTGTTTGTCATGTAGTTCCGTCACAACGTGACCTAAAATGAGAGGTCATCGGTTATCCAATCAAATCGTTAGAATCTCACGTTGACAACGTGGGTAATAATGATCGTTTCTTGGTCACGGGTTACTTGAAATCATCAGGATCAATCATTTTTGCTGCCAAAAGATTAGAACACATTGTCAAATTTGCCCCGTCACTTGAAGCATAGATCTGTTATCCATAAAACTAAATGCCTGACAAATGACATTGAAATAAAGAGCCTGGTCCAGCATCGTATTTGCTCTCGTATCGTATTTGATTTTAATAAGAAAAGAACATAATTAGTCGTGTTTTCCTCTCCACAATTGAGTGAGTGAGTAAATATGGTTTTACGCCGCTTTTAGCAATATCACGGCGGAGGACACCAGAAAAAACGCTTCACACCTTGTACTCATATGGGAATCGAACCCGGGTCTTCGGCGTGAAGAGCGAACGCTTTATATACTAGGCTACCCCACCGCCCAGCACAATTTAGGAAATGTGCCAAAATTATCCAAATTATTTAGGAAGCCTTTGAAGACAATAAGCAGAATATAGTACAAGGTATTTTCTGCATGTCAATTTGAGTTGCTGCATATCCAAACAGGAATGATTTATGAGATTAAAGGGGTGCATCGAGATGGCACTTATCAGGAGATGACTGGGTTTAATAAATCAGTTGTCACAAGACGGGGTCTGAGATGATATATTCTTATATGGGGGTTGAGCGGAGATAACTCGGTTAACAGTTATCATGAGATGACTTGGTCTCGAACATCAGCTCAGATGGGATAATTTGATCTGAGATAACAATTACAATTTGATGACTTGGCGTGAGATAACAGTTAATTTTGGACGACTTGGTCAGAGATAAGTTATCATAATATGATCGGGATTGAAACACCAGTATTCACTGTATGAGCAGGTGTTTTTGGTATAGAGACGATGTTTAATGGTACCAAGGTACCCTCCACTGGTTTGGTTTGTGTAAACACAGGCATGTTTAGAACATTTTTCTTCAGAAGATAGAATAAGCCGTTGTTAAAAAATGTCGATATATTTATGTGTTTGGGTCTCACAAAGGGGAAAACATAATTATTTGTGACATATCATTAATAATGTATCTTATTGATTTTATCTTTCTCAACATCCATACACTTGTGCTCACTACAAAAAATACATTGTACCAATACAGAAAGTGTTTGTGTTAGATAGTACACATTTCAACTGTTCAAGACATATTCTTGAGTGTACAAAATAGAGTTTCTCAAAGTAACTGATAACCAAATGCTCATGATACAGTCGACATTGTACGATCGACTCTGCTGTTGGCAGATGTTTCCTGTAGATCAGGTTTTGTCGTTCTTATTTACGTGTCGCCTGTCCTTTGTATAAATGATAACCCAAGAAATGCATAGTGCAGAAACGGCTATGGTTCATTCCTGCAAAATAAACTTGTATTCGACTGCACTCACATGCATGTTCATGTACATCATGACCAGGATGAATGTACGTTAGGTGTTCAGGCTCAATGTGGGGAAGGGAGAGGGCATGGGTTGTCCAGGCGTCTGACGGGAAAATCGCTGTACGTAGTTGCGTCTTTTGGCTAAGCCAGAAGCTAATGATAAATATATCGAATCCCGGTTCGACACGATTATGCTTCAAGTGATTTTAGCATCAATGTCCTGCTCTTAACTTGCATCAAAGTGGTTCACGTCACGTGGTTCACGTTAGTGTTCTGTATCACCTCGGGCTTTCTCCCACATTCTTCTGACACACCGGGAAATAGGCGGCGTTTAACTCATCGTCATCAATCAGATATACATGTAATGATGCTCCGTTCTTACAGACATCCTGGATGATTGCGCCAACAACAGCTGTAAAACGGCAGCTGTGAGGATCAGGTGGGCAATTACACCTGTAACTGTACTGCTGGATACACTGGCAGCTTCTGCGAGACAGGTAAGATCTTGACAGTAGATATTGCTGATACACGTGTCATGGTAATATTCACCTCTTTGCCCCACACTGCATGTATATAGACAATGTTTAACAGCTGAACATTCTTGAGCAGCGTATAACACTGCCTCTTATAGTATCGTCCTATTCTTCTTCTTCTTCTTCTTCTTCTTCTTCTTCTTCTCGTTCTTCAAATAAAATTATTCTTTGGCACATAAGTTATTCAATTCTAGAAACCGTTTGAAATAGGCTGTGTTATTGTACCGCTGCCTTGGAATGCTAAATGTTCAAAACCCTTTTCGCTGCGAATATCTGGAATATTGCTAATGCGGCGTAAAGCAATATTCATTCATTCATTCATTCATACATTCATTCATTCATTCAAAACCTTTTACGCTATAATCTGATAAAAACATTGAAACAACAGAGCAGAAGAAACTTGAGTATAATTGTCGATTACAACATCGTCAGAATTAGGTTTAGTGGTGACAGTAACCTAACCTTCGTAAAAAAGAATAAGTCTGAAATGAATAAGTCTTCTTCACGTTTGTCCCGGTTCATCATACATAATACATGTGTATTCTAAGTAATGTGTGATTATAAATCAACCTTAACTTATCATTGTATCAAAACATTACACCACAAAATATCAGTAACTCTAACTGTTGTCATCTTGTTTGTTACACTGTGTACAAATTCCGAATGCAGAAACATTCTGCATGCGCGTAGTCATTGTACCAAACTATAGGACGACTTGAAATACGAATATTTCAAGATTGGGACTATTTATGAGGAGAAATACGAGGATCATAAACAAACATCTTGAGGATTTGATAGATGGGACAAAGGATGTACACACAACGTGACTAATACCCACATCCTTCTTAGGTCCGCGCAACCCAAATTAAGTATCATATGTCTATTGAGAGTGTAGTGCACTCATTTAACTTTGTTTTATGCACTAATATTCCCCTTAGCAAATGGTATTTAGAGACTATCTGTTTTGCCAGTAAGATCAATACGTTAGCCATCAATGTTTAAACTGTTCGCTTGTCTCAGCTTCCAGTTTCAGTAGCCATCATAAGGGATAAATATTTCAATATCAAAACAGTAAAGGACCTTTTTAATAAAGTTAATTATCATTTAATCATTGATTTTTTAAAAGAGATAGATTTGTTAAATGAATTTTGATATATGTTTTGCAAATAGATACAGTTTTATAATTGGTAGTTCAGATTATCAACTTAGATTGTTAGTGGCTGTATCCTCAAAGGGGGTTGAAGAAGCGTAAAATTATTGTCCTCCTGAGAGGGTACGTAAGTCCCAAAAACTTTCAAAGTAAAATTTTCACGTACCAATTTTTTAAACGTAGTATTTTAGTTCTTCTAATTTCGGCTAAAGTATCCTACAAACGCCACCGGCTGAAGGGATGGCTCCATGCAGGTAGCAAAAGTAATGTAAGTCCCCATGGTTCCTAGTATGGTGATCTACCTTCAGATGCTGGCGATCTATAGCCCGTGTTTTATATTGTATTGTCTTCTTTAATTACACTGTTTTAGTTTTACATGCTAGTTTTATGTTTATGTCTGTGATAATCTAGTATTTTTACTGTCCATCGTCGACAGGTTTAACTCTTCACAATGTTTTCTTTTTTGTATTATATAAATTGTTTTCGTCACGATATGGCTGAGATATTGCCGATGTGACGTTAAATATTAACTCACTCACTCACTCACTCACCAGTTTCAGTAGAAAGGGCAAATTAAAGACGTTTGCCTCAGAATGGTTATTCACCCTAGCTATATTGTTACTCCAAGCCAGGGGCCGAACCTTGGGTATGTATTAAACACGATGTAAAAAGGACAGTATCTATATGAACGGCATCTCTTAATTAATATGTATCTAGATGTCAGCAATCCAAAGGCCAGTGAATATAACGTGTTTTGATATGGGCATAAACATACACTAAAACCAAAGCATACAGATACGTTTTGGTTAATTCATAATGCAACTGTTTGTAGATATCGACGACTGTGCCACAAACCCATGTGTCAACGGTACCTGTGTCGACCACGTCAACAACTACACCTGTACCTGTGAACCTGGGTACACAGACTGGAATTGCAGCACAGGTGAGACGTCCTGCACTCACCACGGTAATCTCGTCCCTTGTAATGTTGCCACCATGTTTTCCCGGGGTTGTCCACCCCTACATCACACAGGTTATACATTCTGTAAAACCCAGATGGACACATCTCCCCGCTTTCCGGCCCACCGATGTGTCTGCAGATTATGGACCGACGGTTGTTTTATTAGTGATCAATCTGGAATGACTTTCGCTTCACACATATATTTTACTAAAATTAAAGCATCCTGTTATACAGAATTCAGAAGCTTTTGAAAACGTATCACTGATTAATGAATAAGACATTTAAGGTAGACAAGGAACGTGAATAGACAGCAACGTTTGTAGTGCCTGTAACGAAGTCTTACATCATCCCCTACCATCAGTCGAATGATGAAGAAGTAGCCTTGAAACGTTGTTCAAAATGCAAAAGAAATTTCAAGTATTTCATTGCTTTTTTCCAACTTCTCTATGCTTCTCAGCGACTTGAGACTATTGACGTTAGGGGGAGTGACGGAACCATACCAAAGAGGTCTTTCTAATAAATGATTTTGTTTCTCATTTGTTGTGACAGGATCTATTGACAAAGGTTCTGATATATTGATCTGTCTCATGGAAAACACATGTAAGATCCAAGAATAGGAAAAATCAGCGATAAAAATATTATGTTTTACGCAACGGATGTTATTGAGGTATTACGTGAAACAAAACGCGACGTACGTTATATTTATTTCTAAAAGATATGAGTATCGAAAAGATTTATTTTCAGGCAGAAAACATATACCCATAAATACATTACCTCTTATATGTGCAAGTTATGATCATAATAAAAACCCTGTTTGGCTTTTCATATTGTACACGCCATCTCTTGTATTCGCCCAGACAGACTTGCATTGATTTCTATCCAAATACTAGTTGATAGTATACATATTTCTTGTATCACTTGACAAATGAAACAGTGACATGTTCCAATGTTAATGTAAATAACTAAACTGCTTGATACCTCAGGATTGAGTCAGGGACTTAGTCCATATTTCTCAGAGCCGAGTGTACACTGTACTAAGTAAGTCGTGGAGCAATCGCGAGAGAGAAATGTTTGCACATTTTTAAACAATGCATGTCCTTTTGTTACTACAACACCGCTAAATGCGCTATCGCGTCACGGGATTTGAAGGACGATGCTGTGATCTCTGGTTATCTTTCCAACCCATCGGAAGTAGAACTGTCATGCATTTGGCAACAAACACTATTATCCAATGGCTTCTACTGTCGACAGTGCAGGACATGCTCACCTATTGTAACTGCCTTTCATTGATTCACTCCTACAATTTGCATCTCAATGCTGACTTGTTTGCCCAAGGAAATCCGTTTTGAAAGACAATGGGGACACGTGATTCTCGAGCGTTGAAGTTTTGTTGACGTTTATTCCTGCGTAGTACAGATTACTTCCTCTCTTAAATCATAAGGCTGGATGCAATCTGTGATGGTTTCTCGTTTCAAGTAAACTGCATTGAAGTCAGTCATTAGCTACATTACAAAGCAACAAAGGAGTCAGTGTATATTATTAGACTGCTTTAGCTCATACAGACCTATAACCTATAACAAGCAGTTGGCCTTCTTTGTCAACAGTGGAAAGAAGGAATCCATACGAACTGATTATGTTCCCTTAACCATCTCCTACTTTGAGTATCTTATGAGTCACTACATTGCAATAAACAATAGAGGAGACTCCTCAGGGGAGAATCATTACTTGGAGGAGGAGTCACTGACGATCTCATGGAATATCAATTATATATATTAAGGGATACAGAACGTAAACCTCTAGAAAGCCTGTATAAAGTCAGAGTTCAGAATCGCAATGAAGCAAAGCCATCAAACCATATACTGCACCTGTGGTTTGTTGTGTTATTGATTGGATGAAAGAACAAATTCAGGATAATGACACCCTCACGCAAAAATATGTTCCTGGCATCATGCGTTGGTGTAGTTTGTGTAACGTGAAGGCCCTCCATGACAATGTGATTGTGTACTGTGCTCCTGTACACTAATATATCCTTATAACCCTGCTGTGGCAGATGAAAGATTTACACAGTTTTCCTAAAGGAGCCAAGGACGGGTGAGTGAGTGAGTTTAGTTTTACACCGCACTCAGCAATATTCCAGCTCTATGGTGGCGGTCTGTTAATAATCGAGTCTGGACCAGACATTCCAGTGATCAACAGCAACATGGATCTACGCAATTGGGATACGATGACATGTGTCAACCAAGTCAGCGAGCCTGACCACCCGATCCCGTTAGTCGCCTCTTACGACAGCTTGGGTAACTGAAGATCAATTCTAACCGGATCTTCACGGGTCCAAGGAACCACGACATATTCGGAATGTCGTATGGTTCTGTAGAGAAATGAAAGTCAGCAATGACAATACGAAATTGGCACAGGTGGGTTTTCAAGTCGAGGCAGTCTGAGCGACTATTGGGTCAAGTTTACCTGCAGAGTGCTGAGAAGGAACGTAACCATGCATAGCATGGTAGCCTGGGAAGTAACAACAGTCAATAACCACTCGAAACCGTCAATATTAAAAATAATTTGATTTTGCATTAGAAATAAATATTGACCGTATGTTATCAATATAATGACACTGCGCAACACGTCATTAGTGGATGTCTGGGGTTGGCACAAAAACAGTGTCTTAAGTGACATGACAGCGTTTCCCAATCCTCCATGTGGTTTTAACCACGTGCACGGTAGCGATAAGAACAGGTAGAGAGCGTCACTTGGTACGTCTCAAACATTTGGCTGACACTGGGAGGCTGCCCGGGTTCACCTCTAGGAACACAGCCCTTCTGACACTCTGGGAGTTAAGACATAATGTTAAAATAGGGGTGTTTCTTTGCGTAATTGTATCTTATATTGGGATGATTGTTGAAGACGCCCGTGTTTAAAAACACACATGACTGCTGCTAATGTCTAACGCATCTGACTGATGTACATCCTACTTATATATTTAACTGAAAATACCCTGAGAAAGGTGCGAGTTTTAACGTTGAATAAGTTACTTCTGACACGAGTATAAATAGTGGTAATGCAAATAAATATCACAGGAGCTGGAACATCTACAGTAGGTTTAGTAATGATAGATACATTGTAAAGTGATACATCTGCGTGCATATTCATCTGAATAATTTCCACACAAAATATACCTTACAGTGCGAAACATGAACCTAACGTACATGGTAGGAAAGAATGTGTAACACACTAATAATCAAATCATCATAGCCATTTTGTGTTAAATCACGATGTACCCGTTTGCAGATATCGACGAGTGTGTAACGAAGCCATGTGTCAACGGTACCTGTGTCGACCACGTCAACAACTACACCTGTGACTGTGACCCTGGGTATACAGACTGGAACTGCAGCACAGGTGAGAAGTCCACCCGTGTATCACACATGTTTTATACGCCGTAACTCCCCGTTATTTCTGACTCCGTCTGTATGGACACCGTGCTTCCCAGGCGGGTGTACGGAGATGATTTACTAGTATAGCACGAATATTTTACATGGCATGTATTGGTTCCTGAAAATGTCTCACTAAGTGCAAGAGACTGTTATGGATGGCATCAAACTTTTATAGACGACTTTGAACATTTACGAATAACGTGTATGGAAGCCGTACACAATTATGGATAACAAATTTGTAACAGGTTATTTTCTGTAAGGTTTGTTTCAGTCCTACTTCTTGACATTTGTTCAGGTGAATTCAAGTCGTTATCCATAAATATTTCATCTCTTCCAGCTTCCAAATGCACAAGTGCATGAAGTGTTAGGCCCGATACAATACACCCAAACACGCCGTTTAACCATGTTCGCCAGTTATCAGCAGCAATGTCTGCACGACTACACCGCCGACGTAATTCAAAATTAATGTCTTTACCTTCAACAAAAGCGATATCGTCTTATGTGACATTGATATCAATTACTTCATTTTCCAGTTTGTTTTTATGTCGTGGTTGCATGACAGGGATGAAACTATTGTTGCCCCCCCAAAAAACACTTAGTGATCAGAAATAGAGATGATTTTAGAAAAACAGTATTTTTCAGGAAGCTTACACGACTGCCACCAGTGCCCAATATTGTTAAGACACCTCAGATGAATATCCACTGTTAAACGTCTGAGCGGGGAGCGTCTAAAAGTAGCACAGAAACTGCACATCATATTATATTGATATTCACAATATATATATGTGTGTGTTATATGTATATTTAATGTGTGTGTGTGTCTCTCTGTACGTGTCTGTGTGCATATGTGTGTGTGTGTGTGTGTGTGTCATTGAATATACACCAAAATGATTTTCATAGACATCGACGACTGTGCAGTTCATGTGTCAATGGTACCTGTGTGGACCACGTCAACAACTACACGTTAACACCTATTCGTTTGTACGGACAATTATACATCCCGGTACTATTGCTTAATTCACAATGAAAGATATAATTTTAGATATTGACGACTGTGCGACAAACCCATGTGTCAACGGTACCTGTGTGGACCACGTCAACAACTACACCTGTACCTGTGACCCTGGGTATACAGACTGGAACTGCAGCACAGGTGAGGCGTCTTTTCCTCACCACGGTAGTCCCTACCCTATTAATCTCGTCAGGAAATTATTTACATGAACGTCGTGTTTAAATTCAGAGGTCCACTGTGTAAGAAACCGTTGAATGAAACCACCGTCTAACAGAGGTGAAACACCGATGTATAACTCACCCCTATGCAACTCTGAAACTGATTACAAAGCTTTCGGATTTCAGGTTTAATTCTTTACCACGACATGCGTTAATGCGAGTAGAGTATCTAGAGTTGCAAGACGAATAATTATCACACAAACGTGAACATCTGCTGAGGAAACATTCATTGTTGATAAACTGCAAGGATATGCATCGAAGTGTAACGTCATCCAAGTAATATCGACAGAAAATATACAATATAGTACAACACGTATACGTATTGGCATATATGATATCCAAAGACACTACAGTACAACACGTATACGTATTGGCATATATGATATCCAAAGACACTACAGTACAACGCGTATACGTATTGGCATATATGATATCCAAAGACACTACAGTACAACGCGTATACGTATTGGCATATATGATATCCAAAGACACTACAGTACAACACGTATACGTATTGGCATATATGATATCCAAAGACACTACAACACGTATACATTGGCATATATGATATCAAATACTACAGTACATACGTAACGCGTATACGTATTGGCATATATGATATCCAAAGACACTACAGTACAACGCGTATACGTATTGGCATATATGATATCCAAAGACACTACAGTACAACACGTATACGTATTGGCATATATGATATCCAAAGACACTACAGTACAACACGTATACGTATTGGCATATATGATATCCAACAGACACTACAGATACAACACAACGCGTATATATATGATATCCAAAGACACTACAGTACAACGGCATATATGATATCCAAAGACACTACAGTACAACGCGTATACAGTATTGTATTGGCATATATGATATCCACCACTAGACACTACATTGGCATATATGTACAACAGTACGTATACGTATTGGCATATATGATATCCAAAGACACTACAGTACAACGCGTATACGTATTGGCATATATGATATCCAAAGACACTACAGTACAACGCGTATACGTATTGGCATATATGATATCCAAAGACACTACAGTACAATGCGTATATGCATTGGCATATATGATATCCACAGACACTACAGTACAACGCGTATACGTATTAGCGCATACGGTATCCAAAATACACTACAGTACAACACGTATATGGTATCCAAATGTCTATGAAGGCACACGTAACATATTCATAATCAAAATGACATAATTAGTTTGGGTAAATCACTATCCAGAAATTGACGAGTGTTCAACAAACCCCTGTGTGCACGGTACTTGTGACAGCGGCGTCAACAACTACACCTGTGACTGTGAACCTGGGTACACGGACATGAACTGCAGCACAGGTGAGTCGTCTTCATCTTCCTCAGATTTCCCCAATAGTCTGGTCCCCATTCGTCCCAGCGCCATGCTGTCCGTGGGAACACCGCCTGCGGTGATTAAAAATGTCCTTATTATGACGATTCATTAGTCCAGAACATTATGTATCTTTACAGTATAGGTTACTTCATGATGTAACCGCTTGTAGATATCGACGACTGTGCGACAAACCCATGTGTCAACGGTACCTGTGTCGACCACGTCAACAACTTCACCTGTACCTGTGAACCTGGATACACAGACCAGAACTGCAGCACAGGTTAGGAGTTGTTCGCAGTGACGAAGTTTATTCATCAGTAAAACCCTGACTGTCCAAACGGTTGTGTCAAACGATTACTTACACGATTTCTTTAGGGAGGAATCTAGAATGACAGAGTTCAATAAGAAGATCAATCTAAGTATCACCTCAATGATATCCTCACAAATATTTACTATGGTACAATACGTAAACGCAATATATATGGTATAACCGGCATGCTCATTTTGGGTTAAATCATAATGTAACTGACTGTTTGTAGATATTGACGATTGTGCAACGAAGCCATGTGTCAACGGTGCCTGTTCCGACCACGTCAACAACTACACCTGTGACTGTGAACCTGGGTACACAGACTGGAACTGCAGCACAGGTTGACTCCGTTTTTACTCATAATACCCGCGGTATACCCCAAAGTTTCAATTAAAACACAACTACTTGACGCTTTGATACTACTTATAGGGGCGGTGGGGTAGCCTAATGGTTAAAGCGTTGGCTTGTCACGCCGAAGACCCGGGTTCGAATCCCCACATGGGTACAATGTGTGAAGCCCATTTCTGGTGTCCCCCCGCCGTGATGTTGCTGGAATATTGCTAAAAGCGGCGTAAAACCAAACTCAGTCAGTCAGTCAGTGATACTACTAATAATTAGAAGACCCGTGAAGATCCGGGTTAGAATTGGTCTTCAGTAACCCATGCTTGTCGTAAAAGGCGACTAACGGGATCGGGTGGTCAGGCTCGCTGACTTGGTTGACACATGTCATCGTATTCCAATTGTATAGATCGATGCTCAGGCTGTTGATCACTGGATTGTCTGGTCCAGACTCGATTATTTACTGACCGCCGCCATATGGCTGGAATACTGCTGATTGCGGCGTTAAGCAACAATCAAGCAAGTATAAAAGGCTATCAGATTTCATGTCCAGTTCTCTGACCCTTCATATGTTACTGTGAGCTGTGGGTCTTAAGTAACAATCGTCACACTTGGTAAATTATAGATAAACTGCAAGGACGTACATCTTTTATCCAATGCAAAACGTAATATAACGGCATCCTAATGTTCTTGAAAGCAAAAGCAACATATTCATCATCCAACTGGCATAGTTGGGGTAAAACCATTATTGATGATGATAACTGTTTGCAGACATTGATGAGTGCGCAACGAACCCATGTGTCAACGGTACCTGTGTCGACCACGTCAACAACTACACCTGTGACTGTGAACCTGGGTACACAGACTGGAACTGCAGCACAGGTGAGAAGTCTTTCGTATCTCACACAGGTTAAATATTCTCTATAACACTGGTAGCAGGCACCTCATTAGTACAGACCTCGCGGTTTCCGGGCAATATCCGCTCGCAGCAGCGAGAGGTATGCACGGCGCAGAAGGCACAATTAACGTTAACACCTATTCGTTTGTACGGACAATTATACATCCCGGTACTATTGCTTAATTCACAATGAAGCATATAATTTTAGATATTGACGACTGTGCACAAAACCCATGTGTCAACGGTACCTGTGTCGACCACGTCAACAACTACACCTGTGACTGTAAACCTGGATACACAGACCGGAACTGCAGCACAGGTAACGGTCCTTATCCATCTCACGCAGTTTTTATATATCTTATAACCCCGACAGACAAGGGTCACATAAATTTGAACTTCATGTAATTATAATTACTCGACTCAATGGAATATCATTGTCAAATATAATTGTATCTTATCTTCATAACTGTTGACCTATGTGTGAGACCTGGAAATAATGCCAGTGTTAGAAACAATAGAACGTCCACTCCAGTACCGGTGCTCCGCCCAAACAGATTCTATTTGACAAATGGAAAAATGCTAAAATTACGCAGTAAAAGCTCTAGGAATGGATCACTTAGTCAGTAAAGACATCGTATGATCCTGACAAGGGGAAGCACAACCCACTCACACAAAATGCATCAAATGATAGGTGACTGTTAGTTTCCTTTAGCATAACCATTCTCCTGCAATGCAACAGCGGGGTGTAAACAGACCAGACAATCCAGTGACAGACAAGAAGACGTTAAACCATCAACTGATACATAAACCGTGTGGTGAATACCCCTGGCTGTACCTTCAATCAGAAACCGATTCATTTCCATTTTCCTACATAATGGCTCATTAATAGGTTATGTGTAACATACCTCTATGTACTGATATTTACTGGCACCCGTGAAGAGCCACCTCTTGGGTGGGTGCTCTTCACCCCCCCTTGATTAGTGGACCCAGGGGTATATTTGGTCCACCAACCCGTTTGCCGTGGGTTGCGCCCCTGTTAAAGTTGAACCCTTTCGCAGTATCTAAGGGTATTCAAGGTATTGCTGGGGATGTCAAGAACATTAAACGCTTACGTTCGAGTGCGCTGCTAGTTGAGTGCGGAAAAAAGCAACAGTCAATCAACCTGATGAGTACTGAACGTTCGTTGGCATTCCGGTCACGGTCTCTGCTCACAAAACGTTGAACACAAGTAAAGGTATCGTCAGAGATCGTGATCGATTGTTTGCTGATATGTCGGAACTTGACATAGTATCAGAGATGAAAGATTATGTAAAGCGCTTTTCAACCCGAAAAAACAATGAAACTTTCAAAACAAATACCTATCTGTTTTCCTTTTCATCTCCAAATGCTCCCAAATCACTGAAGGCAGGTTACTGTAACATCCATGTTGACACCTACATCCCCAACCCGCTCAGGTGTTTTAAATGCCAGGAATATTGACACGATGTTAATACTTGCACATTGTCTGTTGTGTGTGCTCACTGTGGTGAGAAGACACACACAACAGAAGATTGTAACAGTGATTTTAAAAAATGCACCAACTGCTCAGGCGACCATTCTTCTTTTTCTAAAGAGTGTCCGATTTGGAAAGAGCAAATGGCGATTAGCAAATTTAAATCAAATTTACCCAAAATATCACTTTTTCTGAGGCAAAAAAACTGGTAAAGAGATCCGACCTTACAGAAAGTTATGCTGCAGTAGCCAAAACACCAACTGAGTCTAGCTCTAAAATAACAAAATCATCCACAAGCTGCCAAACAACCTTGACTTGGGTCATCTGCGACTCTCCACAGCTTTTTGTAATATTGCTAAAAGCGGCGTGCTATATCATCTCAGACTGAGGAATCACTTCCTAGTACGTCAAAGTCTTCTTCTGATCATAAATCATCTTTTCAATCAGGCTCAGAGTCTCAATCGTCATCTTATAGTCAACAAATTGTTAAAAGTAAAATTAAACCTAAGCCTGATGCTTCAAAAAAAACAAAGGGCCACTGGAGGATCTTCCATCCTAGTCAAACAGAACGTTATCCACAGCCCTGTTTCACTTACTACTAATCTGCAGGCTGTTGCAGTGCGCATTACTTTACATGTTGCGTTTACAATATGCTCTCTATATATCTCTCCGTCTTCAACGTTTCACAAAACCGATCTTCAAGCTCTATATGACCAACTCCAGAAACCCTGTATTATTATGGAAGATTTAAATGGCCACAATCCACTCTGGGGTGGTGCAACTAGAAACGCTAAAGGTAAACTACTGGAGGAGTTTTGTTCAGATAATGATTTATGTATTTGTAATGATGGTTCAAACACATATTTACACCCTGGTACAGGAACATATTCTGCTCTCGACTTGTCAGTCAGGCAAGGAAAAAACAGAACATTATTACCGTTGCCACCCTATGGTGGATAATTTAAATAAATTTCAAATTTTAAATGTTAAAGCGCGGCGTACCTTTAAACAGAATAAACGCCAATCTTGGCAAAATTCTGTATCCAAAATTAACTCTCGAACGCCCATGTCCAAAGTGTGGAACATGGTACAGAAGATTCAAGGTAAAGGTACTAAATCTAGCGTCCATCATCTTAAACACGGGGATCAATTACTTACTGAAAAATCAGATATTGCGAATAAACTGGGTGAAACTCTTGCTAAACATTCTTCCTCTTCTAATTATGTGCCTAAATTCCAACAATATCAAAAACAACAAGAAAAGAAACCTATTCATTTCAATTCAGATAATGGGGAAGACTATAATGAAATATTGTCCATTCATGAGCTCCATACTGCTCTTGAACAAGCTCACGATACTGCTACAGGAGCTGATAACATTCATTATCAACTCCTGAAGCACTTACCAGAATCCTGTCTAGAAACTCTTTTACAAATATTTTGATGATATTTGGACATGAGGTAAATTCCCTCCCTCATGGCGTGACGCTATAGTAGTACCGATACCTAAACCTGGACGTGATCATACGGATCCGTCCAATTATAGACCAGTTTCACTAATTAGCTGTGTTTGCAAAAGCATGGAACGAATGATAAATAATCGACTTGTTTGGTACTTGGAAACAAATAACCTTATAACAGATATGCAATGTGGTTTCCGTTAAAAACAGAAGTACTGTCGATCACTTTGTGAGTTTAAAATCATTTGTTAAAAACGCTCTAATTAATAAACAGCACGCTGTGTCTATCTTTCTTTACCTTGAAAAGGCATATGACACTACGTGGAAATATGGCATTTTAAGAAATTTACATGGCCTCGGATTGCCAGGCCGTTTGCCTCAGTTTATAGCCACCTTTTTAATTGACAGACAATTTCAAGTCCGCGTGGGTTCTACCCTGTCTGATCATTACAATCAGGATCAGGGTGTTCCACAAGGCAGTATTTTGTCTGTCACACTATTTAGTATAAAGATAAATAGTTTGTCAAAAGTTTTAAACGATTCAATAGATGGATCGTAATTTGTGGATCATTTTAATATTTCCTGTCGTGGTAAAAATATGCATACTATTGAAAGGCAACCGCAGTTATGTTTAAACAAGATAAATAAATGGTGTCTTGAAAATGGCTTTAAACTTTCTAAATCTAAAACTAATTGCATACATTTCTGCCGTAAATACAAACCCCAAAAAGACCCCGAACTATCTCTAGATGGCACGCCCATCAAAAGTTTGAGGAGGCCAAGTTCTTGGGTCTGGTTTTTGACTCTCACTTAACGTTTCTGCCACATATCAAATCCCTTAAAACTAAATGCCTGAAGGCACTTGACTTGCTGAAAGTGGTTTCAAATTCTAAATGGGGAGGGGATCAAGCTACCCCCCTCCATCTATATCGATCACTGGTCCGTTCCAAACTTGATTATGGCTCCATTGTCTATGGTGGAGCCTGCAACAGTAACCTAAAAATATTAGAATCTGTCCACCACCAAGGTCTAAAACTTTGTCTTGGGTCCTTTAGAACCTCTCCTGCTGACAGTCTCTACGTTGAGGCTGATGAGCCATCCCTTAACCAACGGCGTATAAAATTATCCTTGCAGTGTATAACAAAACTATATTCTAAGGAGTGAAATCCTGCATTTAACTGTTTTTTAATCCTCTTTATGAGGATCTATACAATAAAAAGTCTTCTCTTGTTCCGCCTCTGGGACTAAGAGTAAAACCTTTCCTTTCTGCTGCTGGCATTGAACTAGAGAATATATCTCCTTCCCGTCTGCTTTCTTCTCCTCCTTGGCAGTTGGTTAGACCAGAAGTTGATCTAACACACACAACTTTTAAAAAATCGGAAACAAATGTATTACAATATAAACAAGAATATAATCAATTTAAAAGTAAATATAATACATACAATACATATGGGTCCAAGGATGGTGGCGCAGTTGCTTGTGCCAATGCCATTGGATCCAAAACAATATCTTCTCGATTGCCCAATGACAGCTCTATTTGCACAGCAGAAGCTAACGCCATATTAACAGTTCTTAAATATATTAATAAACACCGTAAATATAAACAATACATACCGATTCTCTTTCATGCCTTCAGGCCATTAAAAATCTTTCTTGTAAACATCCACTTTTAATAGAAATTATTGAATTGTATAATGATCTTGCTACTGGCCAGTGCGACATCGTCTTTTGTTGGTTACCCAGCCATGTTGGCATTTCTGGGAACACAATGGCCGATTTTGCTGCTGAGGCAGCACTCAACAAATCTGTGACACCACTTCTTATCCCATTCTCTGATTACAAAGCTAGCATTAGAACCTACATCCGTGATCTGATGCAGAAGAAGTGGGACACCCAAGTAGGTATCAATAAATTACATGCAATAAAACCCTATATCAGTTACACCTACTTGGGTTGTCAGTCCAGATTTGAAGAGGTCATTATGCGACGATGTCGCATTGGCCATACTAGATATACTCACGAATATTTATTGAAAGGCGAAGATCCTCCGTTTTGTATCCCTTGTGATGGACGAATCACGTTCAAGCATTTTTTGCTTGACTGTGTTGAATATTCCATCACAAGGGATAACTATTTCAAATCACGAACTATGAAGGATCTTTTTATTAATATAAGTTCTCATTTAATTATTGCATTTTAAAAGAATTAGATTTGTTAAATGATTTGTAATTAGCTAAATATTTTTATTATTGGTAGCTTAGATTAGTAACTGAGATTGTTAGTGGCTGTTCCCTCAAATTGGGTTATTGTAAAATTATTGTCCTCCTGAGAGGGTACGTAAGTCCCAAAGTATTCTAGGTAGATTTAAACCTACTGTTATTTGTAATCGTAGCATATATGTTCTTTTAATTTACGGCTAGATTGTCAAAAATTGCCGACAGCTGAAGGGATGATGTAAATCCAACTAGGGTCTATGCAGGTAGCAAAAGTAATGTAAGTCCCCATGGTCCCTAGTATGGTGATCTACCTTCCGTTGTTGGCGATCTATAGCCGATTTTTATACTGTGTTGTCCTAAGTTGAAATCAAATTTGGTCCTTTAGAACCTCTCCTGCTGACAGTCTCTACGTTGAGGCTGATGAGCCATCCCTTAACCAACGGCGTATAAAATTATCCTTGCAGTGTATAACAAAACTATATTCTAAGGAGTGAAATCCTTCATTTAACTGTTTTTTTTAATCCTCTTTATGAGGATCTATACAATAAAAAGTCTTCTCTTGTTCCGCCTCTCGGACTAAGAGTAAAACCTTTCCTTTCTGCTGCTGGCATTGAACTAGAGAATATATCTCCTTCCCGTCTGCTTTCTTCTCCTCCTTGGCAGTTGGTTAGACCAGAAGTTGATCTAACACTGACAACTTTTAAAAAATCGGAAACAAATGCATTACAATATAAACAAGATTATAATCAATTAAAAAGTAAATATAATACATACAATACATATACGGATGGGTCCAAGGATGGTGGCGCAGTTGCTTGTGCCAATGCCATTGGATCCAAAACAATATCTTCTCGATTGCCCAATGACAGCTCTATTTGCACAGCAGAAGCTAACGCCATATTAACAGTTCTTAAATATATTAATAAACACCGTAAATATAAACAATACATACCGATTCTCTTTCATGCCTTCAGGCCATTAAAATTCTTTCTTGTAAACATCCACTTTTAATAGAAATTATTGAATTGTATAATGATCTTGCTACTGGCCAGTGCGACATCGTCTTTTGTTGGTTACCCAGCCATGTTGGCATTTCTGGGAACACAATGGCCGATTTTGCTGCTGAGGCAGCACTCAACAAATCTGTGACACCACTTCTTATCCCATACTCTGATTACAAAGCTAGCATTAGAACCTACATCCGTGATCTGATGCAGAAGAAGTGGGACACCCAAGTAGGTATCAATACATTACATGCAATAAAACCCTATATCAGTTACACCTACTTGGGTTGTCAGTCCAGATTTGAAGAGGTCATTATGCGACGATGTCGCATTGGCCATACTAGATATACTCACGAATATTTATTGAAAGGCGAAGATCCTCCGTTTTGTATCCCTTGTGATGAACGAATCACGGTCAAGCATGTCTTGCTTGACTGTGTTGAATATTCCATCACAAGGGATAACTATTTCAAATCACGAACTATGAAGGATCTTTTTATTAATATAAGTTCTCATTTAATTATTGCATTTTAAAAGAATTAGATTTGTTAAATGATTTGTAAATAGCTATGAAAATATATTATTGGTAGCTTAGATTAGTAACTGAGATTGTTAGTGGCTGTACCCTCAAAGGGGGTTAAAGTATTGTAAAATTATTGTCCTCCTGAGAGGGTACGTAAGTCCCAAAGCATTCTAGGTAGATTTAAACCTACTGTTATTTGTAATCGTAGCATATATGTTCTTTTAATTTACGGCTAGATTGTCAAAAATTGCCGACAGCTGAAGGGATGATGTAAATCCAACTAGGGTCTATGCAGGTAGCAAAAGTAATGTAAGTCCCCATGGTCCCTAGTATGGTGATCTACCTTCAGTTGTTGGCGATCTATAGCCGATTTTTATACTGTGTTGTCCTAATTTGAAATCCAATTTTAGAGAGTTTGCTAGTTTTATTCCTTGATACTGTGATATTCTAGTTGATTTTACTGTCCTTCGTCGGCAGGTTTTTATAATTTATATGTATTTATGGTGAATTCACAACTTGTTTACAGTCACGATATGGCTGAAATATTGCCGATGTGACTTAAAATCTTAACTCACTCACTCACTCACTGATATTTACTTGCCAACGGCTTTAAGAGCTAATTTACTATTGCCCATAAGAATTGTTAACTGGGCTTGCCATCACCATATCAACTGTAATTTGTAAACTGTTTCTTATTGTGGTTTTAAATAAGATGTTATTTTGTGTTGTGTTTGTTGTTTAACGCCACACTCAGCAATATTCCAGCTGTATGGTGGCAGTCTGTAAATAATCGCATCTGGACCAAACAATCCAGTGATCAACACCATGAGCATTTCTGGTTCGATGGCATGTGTCAACCAAGTCAGCGAGTGTGACCACTCGAGTCCGTTAGTTGCCTCTGGCGACAAGCAAGAACTGCTGAAGGCCAATTCTAATCTGGATCTTCACGGGTTTAACAAAGATGACCAAGAGTAGTTTGACACCGACTACTCCTGACTGCAGGATTTTGCGCTGTTTCGTATGCACGGGTCGAACACCTGGTGTTATATATGCATAGCTGATTGTTTAAAATATATACATTGTACAAATAATATCTGAACGTCATGTCCTCGTGTTCATAGATGTCAACACAGACTGACCATACATCCTACACTGACACAGACATATATGAACACATTCACAATAATCCCAATGTACGATTGCTTTCATTCATAACGTAACTGTAGATATCGACGACTGTGCAACGAGTCCATGTGTCAACGGTTCCTGTGTCGACCAAGTCAACAACTACACCTGTGTCTGTGACCCTGGGTATACAGACCGGAACTGCAGCACAGGTGAGAAGTCTTCCTGTCTCACGCAGTTAACAGCGATGAAGGACAAACATGTCCATTCACGTGTAAAATAATCCCGGAAACAGTTAAAAATGGCGTCAGTCCCATGCTAAGTTCCATCAGAGTTGAGATGCAGATGATGTCTAATGACCACCAGATCGTCAACTAGTTCAGCTTCTTTGTGTAAAGTCACACCCATCCACAAGACCTTCACAATAACTTACATTAAGTGCGATTCCTTCACTTTACTGAATTTCCACATACACATCAAACATCGAGTGTCATAACGAAATGGGCCACACGAGATGAGATGCAACATGTTAATTTATTTCGTTTAATGTATAAATGGTAGAAAGTGTTAAACACTGTAAATCTAAACGAGTGTGTACATGGCTCCAACGGTAACATGCCTATGTCCTATTTGTTTACTTACTGTTTTATATTTTTGAGATAAGGTGTTTATGTCAGACCACAATGTGATCCATTCGCTCTGTACACTGACTTGCATTGTCATCACCCAGACATAGACGAATGTGCCAGTACTCCATGTCTTCATGGCGGCAACTGTACAGACATGGTAGACGGGTATATCTGTACCTGTCGTCAAGGCACCAACGGCACAAGGTGTCAAACAGGTATGTCCACTACCGCTCAAAGCTAAAGGCTCTTGCAGCATGTGTGTGTGTGTGTTCTGCGAGCGTGCGTGTCTGTGTGCATGCGTGCGTGTGTGTGCATGCGTGTGTGTTTGGGTGAGTGAGTTAAAATTTATCGTCACATCGGCAATATTTCAGCCATATCGGGACGAGAACAATTAATTTATACATAGTAATTAATGGTAAATTGTAAAAACCTGTCAACGAAGGACAGTAAAATAACTAGATTATCACAGATTCGAATTTAAAACTAGTAATTAGATCTAAAACTATAGATGATAATACATGATAAAAACAGGCTATATATTGCCAACAACTGAAGGTAGATCACCATACCATGGTGAAATACAGTACATTTGCTTCCTGCATGGACCCTAGCTGGATTTACACTATCCCTTCAGCCTTCAGCAATTTAGGAAATCTAGCAATACATTAAAAAGACACGTATTCTACGATTAAAAACGTGGAAAGTTTAAATTTATTTTGAATGGTGTGTGTTTGGGGGAAGGTGGGGTGCAAAGTTCGGTAACGTGGCTGCTTGTGATATATTATGCACCAGCGTCATGGTCTGTTGCTCCAAGCACACATCACTAGGAGGTGTGGTTCGATTCGATTGTTTACAGGTCAAAGGGTCGAATAACGAGTTGGAACTAGTAATTAGCAATTTATGTAATCGTAAGCGATTTCTAATTGGATCGAATGGTCCGGTGATATGTATATTATGTATATAAATGGTACCAACATGTCGATTGTCGGAAATAAGGTGTGTTGAACATCGACCCTATTTAACTTTTATGCTATCCAGTCCTTGACCCCTGCGTGGCAAACCCCTGTAAAAACAACGGGAGCTGCACTCAGACAAGTGGCGGTTTTAACTGCTCCTGCCCACCCGGTATTGTTGGCGACAGCTGCCAGACAGGTAAGTAACGGGTACAGAAGCTGCAAAGGAATTGAAATCAGTGTGTCTGGGTCAGTCATCCTATGTATCCTAAGGACATTTCCACTTGCTATGTAACCATAAAGAGGAACGATTTTTATGTATAAGCAACTTCTTTATTGCAATAGATTATTTCAGTGTGGATAACGGTGTTCCACTTCATCATACCAGCTTCTAAATGTCACTTAAAGAAGTTTAACATCTAAAACTGTGTTCCACGGGAGATATTGCTTGTGTGAGATCAAACACTATCTTACCTTCATATAACATACTTTAATTTCATTGGTCAAGGACGCTTTAACAAGTTTCCGTGTCACCCATCCCAGGAGGGTGACAACTGGAAACAATATTACCCGCTGCCACGGTAACCGGCAAACTCTCCGTCGAGAAGCTGTATTGCTAACAATCGTATGACGTCATATTATGATATGTTGTACATTTAACATGGCGGTAAGGTAAATACGTTGTATGCCTCTCCCTCAGGTAATACGGCCTGATGTACACATCTTTGTAGCAGTGTTACCCGAGCCGGTAGTCGTACATCAGACCGTATTACCCTCGAGAGAAGCATACAACTTATATTATCTTGCCTCACACATAAATGTCGTTTTCTGATTGGCTGAGCGCTCTTCTATTATTTTCAATGTACCCCGCTTACAAGCGAGTTACATTTTCTATGTACCCCGCTGGGAATGCCGAACTCATTTGGTATTTCATAGGAGTGATTCTTTATCTCGAATAACATTGAAACACGTATGATGTACGGAAATTACCGATGTTTTGCGAATGCAAATCGATGGAAGGGAGATAACTGTAAATTTGTTTTTCTTGTCGTCTGGTACTCCATACTATGATCCGATACCCGTGCTTCAAATAGTTCAAAATTACCATTGAGGTGTTCGGTAAGATAAATACGTTGTTCAATGGTCCCTCGGGGCCCATGGGTTGATGTACCCTCGATGTTTTTCCTTCGGGCTCAAGGAACATAAGGGGCGGTGGGGTAGCCTAGTGGTTAAAGCGTTGGCTCGTCACGCCGAAGACCCGGGTTCGAATCCCCACATGGGTACAATGTGTGAAGCCCATTTCTGGTGTCCCCCGCCGTGATGTTGCCGGAATATTGCTAAAAGCGGCGTAAAACCAAACTCAGTTAGTCAGTCAGTCAAGGAACATAAAGAAACATCGCGGGTACATCAGCCCATGTCCTCCTCGAGACAAGTGAACAACTTATATTATTATCCCATACGGGCTTGGATACACATTTTTGTGATAATTGCACATGTGCTTTTCACTGATTCTCAACGTTGATTGGTCAGCTAAGCAGAGAAGAAATATGATTGGTTGACGGAACTACTTTCAATGATTCAAGTTCATTGACAACTTTTACCGTTTCATTGATAATTAGAACGTGCTGTACTCACACATTCCGAGATTTAAAAAAGAAAACATAAAGGTTAAAGAATATGAATACTCTTTTTATTAGACATTATTATTTAGCAATAAATTTGCGTTATAAATAGTAGTCTTTTTGAAATAAATAACCTTAAAAAACACACACAAAACAACAACAATCGTTTGCATTGTTTGTAAACAAACATGGCCGCCATTAGGCTAACCCCGATCAAGGCCAATGACCTAGAACTTTAAAGTTGACGGGGAAGAGTGATAACAATTTTACAGCCCTTGAATTCCTACAACCTGTTTATTGTTAAAACTGAAATCGGGGAAATAGAAGCAGAACATACCGACTAAAGGTGTTACCTGAAAGTGTGACAAGTGAGTCTGACACGGCGTCACAGTTGTCGCATGCCGTAAATCTTCATTCTGTACGTACACTATTCTCAGGTCCAATTTATGGTAGTGTACTCCACTTCAACATCTCGAATGACTCCTCTGTCAGTCGATCATCTGCTCCAAAGAGGCATATTGTTCCCATTGACTCAGATTCCGACTAGAGTTATCCTTCTTGGAACTGCTGTACTCCACTGTCACCAATGACGTGACTGTAACACGCCTTCCACAGAACTAAATGTTGTTTAATCTTCAAACTTGTTGAGTTTCTTGACAGAAAACTTTTTCTAGATATATTCGTGGGATGGTTGTCTCCTAGATTTCCCAACTTTTAACCGTTGACTTTCCCCAAATTGACAGGTTTTTGCGACTACACCGTCACTAGACACATGTCGGTCGTGAACGAACGATGTTCCGGCGCACTTACTTGATCAAATAACGTTTTAGCTGTTATCAAGTTCAGTGATATTGCATTTAAAAGATCATCTTTATCATATTAACAAATGTTCATAAAATATTCCATAAGAAAATATTTTTGTTGTATTTTAAAGTTATTTTACGAGGTACTGTTTGTCATAGCGTAGTTATGTTATTACCGCTGGAGAAGTTAGGTTTAATACGCGCATGAATACGAATCAGCTGTTTGAGGTCACAAGTCCTGTCTCCGGGTGATTTTTATTTCGTGGTTCTTCTTTTTAAATTACATTATGGGTAATAAATAGAATAACCAACTCGGTATGAGTGATTACGGGAAATATGCCCTCGTTAATATAATGTTCAGTGCCTCGCCAAGGCTCGGCACTGTGAACATTATTTTCAACTCGGGCATATTTCCCGTAATCACTCGTACCTCGTTGGTTATTCTCTAAGTATCTCCTAGGAGATATCGTTTTGACAGTAGATTGTGTACAATGCCCTGACAATGCTGTGACGTCATAAGCTTGATAACGTCACAATGCTGTGACAGCGCTGAGCTGCAAGGCTAATTACAGTACCGTGTTCAGAGATGTACATTTTTCATTGGAAACTAACGAAGAAAGAATTTTGATGATAAATAGAATCTCACCCTCGTGTCCTCTGATATCAAATATATCAACACTCATCGATAACAGTAAAAATATCCTCGGCAAGCCACGGATGTTTGTAACTTTATCAACTCGTGTTGATATAATTGATATCAGTAAACACTTGGGTGAGATTCTCTATATATACCCATAAACGGTACAAGAAATGTAACAAGAATCTGTCCCAATGTTACGTGTTTCAGACATCGACGACTGTGCTTCCAGCCCATGTAGAAACAACGGAACTTGCAGTGATCGAGTCAACGCGTTTAAATGTCAATGTCCGGCTAATTATAGTGGCTTTCTCTGTCAGTTTGTACTTGCGTGTGGATGTCCTTGCCTGACCGGGGGTAACATTACGGTCGAACAACTAGCTGCAAAGGTTGCGTTGCTTCGGTCGATTCTGCTTGTCAACAAGGCGATACTGTCGAAGACAATACGAAAAAAGACAAGTGCACCGGATGAACGTAGATCTTCGGCGGGAATTGGATTAGGTGGTATCGTTTGCCTTGTCGGAACATTTGCGTTTTTCCTATTTGTCGATTGTCTGAATTTCATTAAGTTAATGCCAACAAAGAAAGTACAACAAAGCAAAATAATAGACATGACAAGAAGACTGCAGCACGTAAAGCATCCGCCCAATTAGCACTTGAATATGATAGAGAGAGAGAAGGGCATATGATTGGTGGAATATGATACCCAAGGTCAACATTGGTGGAAGCAACCTCCAAATTGCCTGAGTGGAACTTGACACATATTTTCGGCGTTTGTAACGGCGTTTTAACCCAGGGTCGTCAGGCAGCCTGTATTTGTCGATGTGTAAGGAAGTTTAAGGGGCGGGGGCTGAGAAAGGATAGGTCGACATAATTGCATTCGGCTACAATCCCCAGTAGCAAATTCAGACATGTACTCGTAGCAAATCATTATGTACCGGTATATTTCTGTGTGTATATCATATAGTTATCTGTACAGATATTTTGTTGATTGATTTTTAAATATCAACACAGCATGATCCTTACAACTGTTTCAGTGATGACCGCGTATTTATGTTATACCATGCACTTTTGAAGTAGATGTGATTATATGTACATATCATAGTATCGAGTGATGGTAATGGTTGTATTCTGGGAGGAAGGATTAAGCTGAGCATAACTATCTACAGTTCACAGAGCCACAATTAGAGACAGGAGTGTTAGGTATGTTTCGAGGACATGCACAAACATGTTTTTACATTCGTTTATATCGCGCGCACTTGATTCGAAAGCAAATGAGGGTGTTATTCCAGTCATTTTCGTGTGCATTGCACACTGCGACTGACGAAGTGGCTTTTGACGTAGACGTCATCGGACGTCCCAGATTAATGAAACTTGAGGATTCATGGTTGGCTGTTGTATGGGCGAACCATTGACGTTTTCTGTCTGAAGAAACCTGTTCCAAAGTATGCGGATCACCAAGACGCACTGAACATATTGGCTGCCTGTCGCTGAGTTCTGCCAGTGCTGAAGCAAGCAACGACCCTCATGCGGTGTGGGCAGCTTATTTCAAGCTGGTGACAAAAACAGTTATTGAAGCCAGAACAGATACCTTAAGTCATATTGTGCATGAAAAATGAGACAGTACTAATATCTCAGATCGAGTTCCACTGAAGAGTCAACACCATAGGCGACTCAAACCCACGTGCATGGATGAATTACCTGGTCCACTTGTGGTTTGTACAGAGGCGTTAGGTTTTGGATCTTTGGTAGGCTTTATCTTAAAGTTAATCTTTCTTCTGACGACCAATCACAACGTTGTGTTTCACAATATATAAATATATATTTTTAAATATATGTTTTAAAATGTTCATGTTTGTTAGTATATTTATATGTTAAGCCAGTCTTTACATATTCCATTGTAAATATAAATATATATTTTAAAATATAAATATTTGTCTGTTAGTATTTATATGTTAAGCCAGTATTTACGTATTCCAATAGCCACATAAAGAAACTGTGCGTTGTCAAAATATTATCCCAGCTGATAAGTACGATGACAATGTCAAAGGTACATATAAACTTTAATGGAGGGATCATGAGACCATAACAAGTCGGGAGAATGTCAATTGAAAAGTCAAACACAATGACGTCACGAGTCCACAAGCAGGACAGGGTCAAACGACCATGTCACAAACTCAACAACGGGTATGTCCACCATCGGCATTGAGAACAGCAGTTCATCGACGACACATAGAGCCTATCAAATGTGCAAGGAAGGCTTGTGGGATGTCACGCCAAGGTCAAGGACGTTATCTGGCGGATGAGGAAGACGGCGTAGACGTCGATCCATCTCGTCTCAAACATGCTCTATCGGGGAGAGATCCGGTAAATTTGAAGGCCAAGGCAGTAAGTCAACGTTGTGGTGTTGCAAGAAATCCATAGCAACCCTTGCCGTATGAGGGCGGGCATTGTCCTGTTGGAATGTTAACCCAGGGCCATGACGTTGCAGAAAAGGAATTGCCACAGGTCGAAGAATCTGATCCCTGTAGCCCACACCAGTTAAGTTGCCCTGAACAATCACCAAAGGAGTTCTTTGGCGTGCTGTTATTCCACCCCAAATCATCACGGAAACCACCACCAAAGCGATTCCTCTCCAAGACAAAGGCCTGTGCATAACGTTCTCCCACGCGTCTATAGGCACGTTGACGTCCATCACTATGGGAAATGTTAAACCTGGACTCATCTGTCAAAACAACATTTTTCCACCTAAACAAGGGTCTGAGGACATGATTTCGGCACCATATTCGGCGAGCTTGTCGATGACGTTGTGTCAGGATAGGCCGTATGGCGGGACGTCGTGGTCTGATTCCGTGATGACGTAAACGTTGTCGAACTGTGTTGTGGTTCGGGCAGTCATCACTGCAGTCTGAAACCTGTGGCGAAGATGGGTCACCCTTATCCATCTGTCCTGTCTTGGCGTTGTTACACGTGGACGTCCAGAACGTGGCCGATCAGTGACGTCATGTGTGATCTGGTAGCGTCTCACCAGTGTAGAAATGGTGTTCCGGTGGCAGTGGAAATGTGCAGCCACTTGTCGTTGAGAAATTCCCCCACGGACCATCCCAATGACCTCATGACGTTGTGCAGACGTAAGCCTTGGCATGCTATGCGTTTCAATAGCCGTTTAATTTTTTGAAAGATCGCAAGGGCAGGGGTTGAGCTTTCCAAAGTAACAGTATTGTGTTGCATTCATTTGCTCTGTTTCTCTTTCCCGGAATGCACGTGCAACAACGTATTGCACGTCTCAAGGATGAACCCACTCTACGTCACGGAACGTGGCACGTGCATGCATGTTGGATACTAATCTCTGAGTTTAAATCTTTATATGTCTACACAGGTTTGATAAATTTAGATTTTAAATTTTTGTATGCACAGTTTCTGCCTAGTATATACTGAAATATTCATATTTGACTGTGTATACAAGTCCTGTCACATCGACATGTGTGAAACATAATGCATGTTTTTTATATGTTTATGAATTATATCTACACCTTTAAATATTAATGTGTTTGTATGAATAGAAGTAACCTCTAAACCACGTTCGGCCATGGATCAGGTGTATATATTGCCATGAGACAGATTCAGTCAGGAAATACGTCAGTTACTTTCCCTACAACGTGTTTTGTTAATCAAATTAATACAGAAAGGATCAGTGACTGTTCGTGGGGATGTTACATTTTTCGACACATTGGATGTTTTTGGAGAAGTTAGCGTGCGGCCCAGAAACGAAACAATAATTCACCTTATTTGATTATGTTTTGTCAGATCACTAAATCAGTACATGATTTGTATAATTATAGTTTTAATGCATTTATTGTGGTATTTTCAAATTGTATTCCGTATATATATTGGTTTGTTATTGTTTTGTGTTTACATCTTAAAGATGAAGTGAAGATTTTTACTTAAGGTTAATCAATTTATAATGCATTTGCATTATTAGACGTTGCACTCAGCAATAATTTTGCTATATGACGGCCGTATGTAAATAATCGAGTCTGGACGAGACAAACCAGTGCATACATACACGCACGCACGCACGCACGCACGCACACACACACACATACACACACATACATACATACATACATACATACATACATACATACATACATACATACATACATACATACATACATACATACATACATACATACATACATACATACAATATCAAGTTAATCACAATATAATGATGAATCATAATCAAGTTACATATAACCTTCACCTTTGCAACAAATCAGACAAATAAGAGGGACAAGGCACTCTTTATATCCATACGATAACAATCCTCTGCTAAAGGCTGGGGCGATTTTGCGGTTCCGGTGTGTATATAAATCACCGTCATACAGCGACGATACCCGGTGGACCAATGACAGATTGTTCGTATCGTCATTGATTTTCAGTGCTCCATTCTTATCCCATCTCCCTTAAAAAAGGGAAATTTGAAACCTGCAGGAAAAGTCCGGGTTAAACGTGGGTAAATGATATTGTACGGTTTCATTATTCAACAGGAAATCAGAACATTCGTACCAGCATGCAGTTCTTTCTCAAACAATGTTTCTAAAAAAAATATAATTATTTATTGAGGCCTACTTAATACATGCTGTAGATTTGTTATGTACAGTACAACCAGAAATTATTGAGAATTTAAAGATTGTAATTTTTCAAATATATAAGCACTCACTACTCACGTATTAAATGTGAATATTAGCAGAACATAACTCCAGATTCAAAGACAGGTGAACAGTTAGTATGTTGTCAAGTCACCATGAGCAGCAATGCAGGCTTCAATGCGGCGGGGCATACTACTGATCAAAGAAGTTAGAAAGTCGTGGTCCATGCTGTCCCAATATGGGACCGCCTCTTCTTTCATTTCAGCAATATTTGTCCGATTTTTCTTATTGACACTTTCCTTCATAAGTCCCCAAACATTTTCTATTGGATTTAGGTCAGGGCTATAGCTTGGCCAATCTAATTATGCCATATTTTGGGTCCGAAACCAGGCCTGTGAAACGATGTTTTGGGTCGCTGTCCTGCTGGAAAATCCAAATATCCATAGAACACGTGAGCAGATGGAAACAAATGACCCTCGAGAACAAATACACAGAGGGGCGTTGCCCCTAACACAGATATGCCACCCCAGACGTTAAATTTAGGACTGTACTTTGGGCTCTGATACAAAGGTTTTCAGTTTGTTTGGTCCAGAATTTCAGTGTATAAGGAAACAGCCACACAGAACTTTCATCTGAGAAAATCATTGTCCCAGTTAAAATTTCTATGCTGTAAGGACCAGTTCAACCTTCGCTCCTTTTGTTCAGGTTTCATGATCGGTGATGGAATTCCTCGACTTTTCTGCCAACCCATTGCATGCAGCTCAGTTCTAATTGTCTCCTTACAGACAGCCACAGTTCCTCTATCAATCATATCCAGCCTTAAGTTTTCTAAACTCCTTCGTTTGTTTTTAGAAACAAGAATACCAAGCCGCCTCCTGTCACCGACAGTCAATTTTCTGGGCCTACCTGCGCCTCCCTGGTGCTCAATGCCATATCCATTTGCAATATTTGCAACACGATAAACAGTGGACAAAGGGATGCCTGTTCTACTTGAAATCACTTTAGCTGATCTGATGTCCTTGTTATAATACTCAAAAATCAACTTCCTCTTCTCTAAATCATCCATACTGAGGATCACTGAAAATTTCGTCTGCTAGCAAGTAAACAAAGGGGGATAACTCTTCACAAACTAATGAAAAGGGTTGAACGGAGTTGTCTCTCTTGAATGAAACCAAGCACTTGATAGCTTGTCAAGGTTGTTTATACTAGAAATCCAATTAAACATATTCCTAAAATTCTCAATAATTTCTGGTCATGCTATATGTTAACCAGACGTGAAGGGTCAACTGTCATTCGATGACATCCTGTGTTTCGCGGAAATTATTTAACCACTTTGCTTGTTTGCATTTAATGAGTAACGTGAACTATGTGAATGTAAAACCCAGAGCTTGTTCATATGTACGAATAAAGATATTATAAAAATACCCGTCCTGTATTTTATATCAAAAGTTGTCACAACATAAAGGAGAACTCTGTTCAGGTGTGTTAAGTGTAGTAATCTTTAAAACATTTGCTTGTTGAACGTAGCACTCATGCTGAGATAGGAAGGACTTACTTGACTTGAAGCAAATTTTATCTTATCCTCGTGCGCGCGGATAGATGCTCATGACGTCAATCAACACATCGTTTAGCCAGTCATTTACAGGGGCGGTGGGGTAGCCTAGTGGTTAAAGCGTTCGCTCGTCACGCCGAAGACCCGGGTTCGATTCCCCACATGAGTACACTGTCTGAAGCCCATTCATGTTGTCCCCTGCCGTGATATTTCTGGAATATTGCTAAAAGCGGCGTAAAACCAAACTCACTCACTCTGTCACTTACAGGCAGTAGTCTGTTCGAGTACAGATCACGCACAGTGTACGTCCATTTCGTGCCATAATCCCATACATATATATCACCAAAAGGTAGGCTTCAATATAAACCAATTATATTAGATAAAAATGTGGACCTCCCAACTCATCCCTCTGCCCTTGGTTTAATATCCAGCAAATAGCACATCCGGATGCGGTGGCTGAAAGTGTCGCGGGAAGAGACTATTTTTACTATTATTTAGCCTCAAAGAAAACACAAGTCAGGCTATTAGCATTGAAAATATACAACTCGTGGTTTAATCCAGTGAACGTTTGTACATGCATACATCGTTATCATTCAGCAGGTTTTCCTAAACTGCCAGAATCCTAAAACTCAGTTAACTGATTTTTATGCAAATTTATTGATCATATTCATAATCATTAATCTAATTAAATATTATGATGTCATTTTCTGAGAACAGAATTGTATTTAACATCCACTTTAATCAACAGATGTTACTTTGTTATGTTCCGTAAACGCCGCTTCTTGAAATGGATTGCTAAAAGCGGCGTAAAACAAAACTCAGTCAGTCAGTCTTGAAATGGATTGCTAAAAGCGGTGTAAAACAAAAAACTCAGTCAGTCAGTCTTGAAATGGATTGCTAAAAGCGGCGTAAAACAAAACTCAGTCAGTCAGTCTTGAAATGGATTGCTAAAAGCGGCGTAAAACAAAACTCAGTCAGTCAGTCTTGAAATGGGGTGCAGTTTCCACCGTCGTTACCAAAAACAGAATATCATACATTACTCATCTGCTTACAAGAGCAAATGTTTACAGGACATCAGTATGACGTGTCTGTCAGTTTGTATTACTTCCCCCTCGCCCAAGGAACGTTTTGTGATGCATCAATTATTTCATAAATCAATGTGTCCTTTACAAGCATCCATAAACAAAGTTCAGTAAAATTGGGGAACATGTCAAACCCTTCTTCAGGTAGTAATTTATCATGTACCACACAATATTGAAATACTTCTCCCATTTTGTCTTTTAATGGCATTTAGAAGTGATATTCAGAAATGGTGAAAATTATGCATGCAAACTTCTTTATTTCGATGAACACGTCTCGCTCCTCAAGTGAATGACAAAAATAGATGGTGGTGACGATTTGGTGATTTTACTCGCGCTTCCGAACATGATGCGTATTTCCACCACGGATGAAAAACTAGGAAGCAGATAGCTATACATCAGCAGTGATAACATAACACTGGTGGGCACTTAACAAGGGAAGCTACTAGTTAATGGTGCTTATAGGTAATGGCAGTGACTAAATAGAAGCCAGGAAATAATGCAGGCGTAAATAGTCCTGTTAGGTGATCAAGCACTGATATGTAATCGAAGAGGGGGGATAGTGAAGACATGGAAACCAGCATAGATATCTAATTTGAAAATTCTCAAGCGCCAGGCATGTTTTAGTTTGTTTCGTTTGTTGCAGCTGTATCACACTGACTGAGTTTTACGCCGCTTTTAGCAATATTCCAGCAACATCACAGCGGGGGACACCAGAAATGGGCTTCACACATTGTGCCCATGTGGGGAATCGAACCCTGTTTTTCGGCGTGACGAGTCATGGCTTTAACCACTAGGGTACCCCACTGCCCCTGCAGCTGTATGAAGGAGGTCTGTCAATAAATGTGTCTGGACAAGACAATACAGTGATCAACAGCATGGACATCGATCTACGTAATTGGGATGAAATGTCATGTGTCAACCAATCGACCACCCGATCCCGTTAATCGCCCCTAACGACAAACATAGGTTGCTGAAGACCAATTATAACAAGAATCTTCATGGGTCTCTAAGCAGCTCTTGATTGTTGGCCCTAGTTTCTGATCCTATGATAACTGACTTACATGTTCTGAGTAAAAACTTAGTTGACTGACAGACAGCATAGATCGGGCATTAACAGAAATGTTTCCAATTCTATCTTTCTGTTTTGGAAATCTGAAAATCGTTCCTCGTTTGCATGGAAGTTGTGATATTAGAGAAATTATACAATCCATCTAAAAGCCTTGAATGCAGTCGTCCTTGTAGGATGTCCACAGAAAATCAGATGTTTTACAGTTTAAAATTTGCCAACAAGCAAACTGATGATGGAAACGTCAGAACCATTCTCAGACAAAAATCAGACATCATTAATCACTACCAATTACCTTTTCAAAACGAACACAACCGCGCCCAGTCGTTTAATTTTAAGACCGTGTTGCAAAACATGGACTTGGCAGCTTATGATAATCCATTTGTTGTGGCTTACCTTACTGCTAAACTCTAACATCCTACCCGATGCTATAGAGGCATACAGTGACCCAAAGACAAGAGGAACCAGGCGAATGTCTTTTAGAGAGGGTGAGGTCATCCCGTGTGAGGAAATAGCCATGTCTGGAGTCCCCCATGGCGGTATTGGAGGGAGACAGCGACGGAATACCCTACTCTCTCAATGAAACCGTGTTTTATTCCAAAATTTAATTGACACATACAAATGAGATACACTTAGTGATAATGTTTTCATGTTGTTCTGAGATGTTTCTGTTTGTTGTAACATAGAGATGCAATGTGTTCAATTCATGTCCTGCTCATTGCTGTTGCAATCATGGTTATATGCTGCAGACACGCGACACCATACACGGATTTCATTGTTGACAACATACATTGGAGCAAACAAAATCTGTAACACTCTCTCCATCGAGGATATTTTGGTTATGTGTCAAGACTTCAAAATAAAATGGTTTCGAGTTCAAAAAAGAAATGCTGACTATAGTGGCAACTCATTTTCCATAAACGTGAGGAATATCTGCTGAAAGTGTTGGAGGACCGGCTTTATCACACGCAATTACTGATCACACCAGGTATCCGTGGAAATATCACAAATACATGTTTGAGAAAGTCAAATGTTCATCTAAACAGACACGGGAATACCTGGTACCTAAAAATAAGGAATTGCAGAAAGCAGCATTTTGTTTGCTGATGCTTCAGAGTGAGCAATCTTCACATCAAATCGATTTTGTATGTATGTTCTAAGTATTATCTATGTTATTGATCATGAACCCCATATTGAATTTCTCTGGAGGGAACAATGTCTTGTGACAATGTACCCCTGAGCAGGTGTCCGAATACAGCGAACTATTACAGAACAAACTCGCACAGTCTGCGTCTCTGGCTGTTGCATTCCGTATCAACAAGATTTTTGTAATACAGGTACACGCAGTTCTGATAGGATACGTAATCAGGCTCGACAGCGTCCCACTGAGTGGTGTGTGTTGATCCCGTTAACCATCTGAAGGGGCCGCTGGTGGTTGACTTGTTCATGCCGACCCACACAGTGTCGGTACCAACCCCTGGAATATTTCAAAACATACATTAAACAAAAACGTTCATTAATGCCTATGCATAGGGTTGAACTATAAATATGAATAAAAACATATTTTGAATTCTTATAACTGTATTTAGATATCAGTGAAAATTCTGTACAAACAGTGTGAGTGTCTATGAGCGTGACGGTGATTGTACCGGGGTACTGTCAAAACAAACGGTCGGACTTTTGAAAAGGGGTGGAAAACGAAAATCTCCACAATTAGCTCACTGGATACCAACGCATTTGCTTGATAGTACCTAAATGTGAGTGTGGTTTTACACCGCTTTCAGCAATATTCCAGCAATATCGCAGCGGGGATCGCCAGGTCTTCATTGTGAACAGCAGACGCTTTAACCATTAGCTAACCCCACCGCCCTAGTACCTAAATGAGCGTGTGGTGTTGAATGTGTAGTGTCTTCAATTGATTGTTTCCTAAAATATATAAGTTGATTTGCGTGACAACGTTGATACATGCATTCATTAAGTCTACGGACCCGTGAAGATCCGGGGTAGAATGGGTCTTCAGCAACCAATGCTTGCCACAAAAGGCGACTATGTTTGTCGTAAAAGGCAACTAACGGGATCGGGTGGTCAGGCTCGCTGACTTGGTTGACACATGTAGTCTGTTCCCAATTGCGCAGATCAATGTTCATGGTGTTGATCACTGGATTGTCTGGTCCAGACTCGATTATTTACACACTGCCGCCATATAGCTGGAATATTGCAGAGTGCGGCGTAAACTAAACTCACTCACTCACTCACTCATTAACTCTACGAAGAGTGAGCGAAGGTGTTGACATATTACGTTCATCGGCGATATTTACGCCATACAGAATGTGTACACATATAAGCAAATGTATCATAGATAACATCCAATGGGTCATACATATTTCCACTTAACAAACGTAAGAGTTGGGAATGGGATTCCGGATGCCGTGCCGGAGATTTTATACAAAAACAAACAATTTCGAAAATACTGCAATAGAATAGTTTTACCTCCGTCGCTGAGATGGGTTTTGAAAAATATGTGCCTGGCATCAGTGTCGATGACCGCGAGGCGACCACCATCGTCACGACATGCATTCAAGCTCTCTTCCCAGTCTTTAGTATCAGATGCAGGGCTGACTTTGAAGCAAAGGTTGGCAGACTCCGCAAAAACGTAGCCCAATCCAGTAGGACAAGCTGCAAGGAACAGATCTTCAATACCTATACGCCATAGGTGCAAATAATTTAGCAGTTGTGACAAAATGACAAAGTAAAAAAGAACTTGGATTAAATCTCCCATTACCATGCAGGAAATGTATGCTTCCAACTTACATTTTCAAATGTGTTAGTATAACTATACTCCCCATCAAAAGTTTAGACTCACTAGTGTAAATATAGCCACTTACTTCAGGGAAATGTTCTGAACTAAATTTTGCAAAATATTCCATACTGTTTAAAGGTACTGTTTACACATGAACTGATGTATTGTAAAACAAATTATAACATTGAAAAGATTATTGTCATGAGTTCAATAAATGATGAAAATCAGTGAAAATTGGCGAATTCACAACAAAACGTTGCATCAAAACGCAGCTGTTCACATACACGATATTTGCACATGCTTTTCAGCAATTTGAAGCATGATTCTCGTGCAATTCATCTGCATAAGGTTTGCAGTTGCTTCCCCAGGTTAGTAGAGAAATCAATCTTTGTTGTAACTATATATATAAACATTATATATAGTGAGTGTTTTAAGTGAGTCTAAACTTTTCATGGGAAGTATATCTCTGATGGGTGTGGGGCGGTGGGTTAGCCTAGTGGTTAAAGCGTTGGCTCGTCATGCCGAAGACCCGGGTTCGAATCCCAACATGAGTACCATGTGTGAAGCCCATTTCTGTTGTCCCCCGCCGTGATGTTGCTGGAATATTGCTAAAAGCGGCGTAAAACCAAACTCACTCACTCAGTCAGTCTGATGGATGTACATTAATGTATTGAGGCGCCTGTAAAATATTATGCGCCTGGATAGGGTGACCTGCCACTGGTTCTTTGCATGCCATAACAAAACAGAGCTAGAAGGCTGGCGTTGTGCTTGCTTTCTGGAATGCTCCCTGTAGCTCTTATAGAGCCGCAGCGATAGTATTTCAGCCATATCGTGACCTAAGTCATTAACAGTAATACGTGAACTGAACTGATGTATGCACATATATGCATGTGCTACGTTCAGTGATATCAGTCGTTTCGGCATTCATAAAACTAAACGGCTCATAAACAGTAAATCATTACTGCATAACGTCATGAGGCTATTGGGAGGAAATGTCTCAAAGTCAGGTGGCTGCGCATTGCTACCGAAACACCATTTCAGCATTGTTAAGACGTTATCAGCATAATAATGAAGTTGCCGACCGCCAACGTGCAGGGCGAGGACAGAACAACGCCAAGGTGGTGACCTATCTCTGTGGTAGCTAGCACAAGATTGGTGTAAATTGGACAATACACATAAAGCATTTTGCTGAGCAACATACACATTAAAAGACGTATATTATATAAACATAACACTAAAAATGACTGACTGAGTCTGACAATGTATTTTGATTAATAAGGTAATACAACTAGGTTTTAAGATGGATTACAATAAGTGTTGTTTATTTGAAATAGCAATATTTGATGGAATGAATGTTTTTCCTGCTCTGTTGGTTCTAAAACCAGGGATTTGGAAAACGGCGTCCTAAGTATATGTAAAAAGCACAGTTTTTTGGCATTTCTTGTAGATTCTACTGGTATTTGTTGTATAAATCGGTGACAGTTCCGAGGTATTTGTATTGGATGATGACGTCGATGTAGTAATCGTCTATAGGTTCAGTTAATTTCGGGCTTTTTTCCTCTAAAATATATCACAGTATCTTTTGTTTTCTTCGTTTTGAGGATAAATTTTTTGTCTTTGCACCAATCGTAAAACCTCTCAGTGGCACTCTAGTACAATGAATCATCGTTTTCACTTAAAAGTCCAACGCTGGCTCCATCGTCATTACTCGTACAGTCCATCTATGAAAGTGACATACACTACACTTTAGTGCGTCGGGCGAGATATTCTCCGTGTCTTGTGCATAGTCGTGAATAGTTTTAACTGCATTATTGTAGTTACCCGAAGGAGGGATGTAACAACATCTGAGCAAACTCTCTGGGTAGAAACCATTGGCTCAACGATACAGATAATACTTCAGAATCATTTGTCAGTACAGTTTCTCTGAATGTCCAGTTCTTACAAAAAAGTATTTACTTCCATGCACACTCTTTCACCTGTTGACGTTTCGATGTTGTCCTTGTCATTATCCCTGTCCAACGGCTCTGGCGATTCGAATCAGTGTATATGAAACCTGCTGGTATTGTCAGTATCAGAACTAAACCACGTTTCTGTCAGGCACACAAAACACCTGCCTCGATAACCGTATTGGTATCTGGTGCTGGAGAACAGTTCGTTGGCATTGTTCTTTAAGGAACGAACGTAGGAAAACAAGAAAGTGAGTGGAAGGGTCGGGATATATTGGATCGAACTCGATGTCGTAGCCCACTCTTGTTTCCTCTTCTGCCCTTACCGCCCCGATAATAAGGGTCAGGCAGATATTCTGTAGGTAAATCCAGAGAAAGACTGGCCGTCCACCATTATGATCAAGGCTTGGGTAGCCTTGGATAGTTCACACAAGTAGGCAGTGATTTAAAAGCAAAATACAGACGTCTTGAGGTGCCAGTGTCATGCAGAGTAATCATTTTGAGGGTGGTTCCCTCATGAATTAGAATGGGATACGTGCACGTCGGAGAACCCCTGTAGTTGTTGTTTAATGTAATTTGACAGGTGTGGGCAAGAGAGAGGAGAATTTCGGACCATTTGTTATTCCCTTCTTCAAATTCGTGGCCCAGGACTGATATTCCAACTTGAAGAAAGCTACATGGCTAGGCTTGCTGTCTTTACTTCACAATGTTCAAGTACTGCCTACTTGTTCACCGGATCTTTGCCTGTAGAGTATGTGTGGGAGGGAATGGAGCAGCGTCTACGCAGTGTACCGAATTCGCCAGATAGCGTTCGTGATTTAGCAGTAGAATTTCAAAGAACGTGGCAAGCCTTCATGCCCATCGCGTCGGCGATGTACTGTTGTTCTTGCTGCTCATGATGGGCATAACTGATTTTGAGTTAGTGACATTGCTGTTTGAACCCTCCCCCGTATTTGAACTCGTAACGTCAGTGTTATGGACTTTAGATATGTTAGCGTGTTTTATGATGTCAATATTCACCTAGTAAAATTTACAGCCGATAGGGCCAAGTAAAGTCTAGTCTCTGTCTATATTCATGGAACATAGTGCATACCCAGTCATTTCTTTCCTTAAATTACAACAAGCATGAAAATGATTAGGTTGAACACTGATTAGCTGCAGAATTGTTGTTTTGGTTTATTGACCCAGAAGCAATATATGAACTTTTCTCATTAACTATTTGATTAATTTATTCTTGAAACTTAATTCAAAAGATCTTTTTCCTTCACAGAGCAAAAATTCAGTTATACATTTAAAAAGGACATAACTGATTCTCAATCCTTATACTTTTAGATATGATTCTCTCATCTCAAAATTATACAAAAATAACTTCCAAACTAACCGTTCTGATCATATAAAGGACTCCAACTGACAGTCACATGTTCTCATGGCTTCTACCGTGATTGCCCACGGTTACAGAACCAAGATTACTCATCCTGCCATCATTAGGTCTGGAATATTCATCGTTCGTTCGTACCACGGCATTGGCCACTGTGTGTGATCGTTGGGACTTCACATGGTAGGTACCCATTTCTGACAAGACCGACTGTGGAGCTGGGGGAGAAACTGAACTGAGGTCGACTCTGCGTAACGCAGAATTTGCAACTGGTTTCTGTCTGATCTTCTCTGTCGCGTTTCCTAAATTCATTTCCCCTCTTTTCATGTTCATCGTCCAGCTTCTTAATTTCTAACGCATCTTTTCGAAGTCTGCTTGGTTAGCCTTAATACAATCCTTCGACTTTGTAAACTTGTCCATTACCAGTCCCAAAGAGGTTTCCAAGCGACTTGTTCTCTGTTCTGCTCTCGGTGATGGTTTCCCGTCGTTATCTTTCCTTTTGTTTCTATTACCAGCATCATGTTCATTCTTCCGTGCCGATGCAGGTCTATCAACGTCGGGGATGTCAGCATCGGCCTCTGCATCATCGCTTCCTTGGTCACGTGCAGTTCCCCATCACTTGTGGGGTCGCTAGCATCATCGTCCCACGGCTCACACAACTATGTATCAGTTTCCCCAGGGAGGTAGCTGACCGAGCTTCTAATAATTCATTGATTTCCTTATAAACCTTACAGTCTTCTTGACGGACCACTGGTTTTCAAAGGAGGTGGTTAAACCGTTTGCTCGTCACGCTGGAAAAATGCTAAAAGCGGCGTAAAACCATACTCACTCACTAGTTTTCAGCTTATCGCGACATTGCCTGCAAAATTTCTTCAGAGTCTTCAAGCGCTCTTTGCACTGGGATGATGTTATCGCAATGCCCTTGGTGTGAAGTTCCATGCTTACTTTGCTGTGAGCAGTAGTATTAGGCTTGGACTGTCAAGTTGTGCCTGTATCTGTAGTTCCGACAAGAAACTGAGAAGGCATCTGGTTCCATTATCCGACCATGCATTTCCCTAAATACGTTTACGTTTGGGTGGCAATACAGCAGTGTTGCTTGTTTCATTAAATCTAAAATTAACTTTCCAAGATGATAGCTTCTTCATGTTGAATTCCAGGATATGAAACATTTGCCCTGGTACAAAACTGCGTATATATAACGAATCGAATCGGGGTTAAAATTTGTAAAATCGAGTTGGGCTAGTGTAACCCTTGGGGGAAAGTTGTCAAAACGTGCTTATATGACGAAATTTACCCCTCGGAGCACATTATGTCTCTGGGGTAGATTTGTGCATGTATACCAGACCATGTATATCAAAAGGATTTAGTCATTCCTGTTTCCTTAAATGAGACTTATGCGACTTTGAAATATACTCTTCAAGAAAGAAACTTGACACAGGACAAATTTTAATTTTAGCAAAATATTTGACACAAACCAATCCCTGCTGAATCCCAGCATGTGGGGGAATAGTAGCCGACGACAAAACGTTTGAAAAAAGAAACGTTTAACTAAAACGTAATGTTACACTCACGTCTGTAGTGAATCGCTAAAACGCACCCTACATGAAATGCCCGAGCATCATGACATTGTGTATCACCCTGAGCTGAAGCCTATGACTGTAGGCTTTAAGCACCACATCAATGGTACTCCACATGCATTGCTTTAAGACACTATAGACAAGAGAATGAAAAGACTGACAGAAACTCAACGACACAACACCATCGGCCGTTTACAAGGACATCGCGGCATAATGTGGCAAGGCACTTCAGCGTGTCCAGACAGACCATCTCAAACCTATGGACTCGATACAAAAATACTGGGACTGTTAATGACAGACCCAGGTCAGGTCGGCCTGGAGTTACCACCGCCGCCCAGGATCGCTACATCCGGATGAGACAGTTTCGTTCAAACACCACGGCCGCATCATCCACAACAATCCAAATCCCTGGACTGCTCCAGATCTCCGACCAGACAGTGCGCAATTGGCTATGGAAAGCCAGACTTTTGCCAGAAGACCAGTTCGACGTCACGTCGTTCCTACATGAACGTGACCTTTGGCGCATGACAATGCTCGACCTCACATTTCACGTGTTTGACAGGTCTTCCTCCAGCAAAACAATGTTCAGTTGTAACCTTGGTCTTGTCGATCACCGGATTTGTCCCCAATTGAACATCTATGGGATACTCTCGATCGACGATTGCGTCAGCGTAATCCGCCACCTCAGACACTACAAGAACTGCACACAGCATTTCAGCAAGAGTATCAAAACATTCCTCAAGGCATTCGGCATCTCCTTTCTTCTATGGGTCACCGGGATCCATTGATGCCCTTGTAGATCTTCCCTGTACTGTACTTTACCCTACTGTACTGGGTTCAACTAACTGTTTAAAGTAACTATTTTTAAAAAAACTGTTATGGAAATATATCCAATCGGGACATTCCCATTTATATACTGAGTCAAAAAAGAAACTTCACATTCTTTCTTCAGGGCACTCTAAAAGAACAAGAGATTGTAAGACGGTTAAATTGTTATTATTTCATTGCTGAGATCTGTGTGATGTACTCGATACACTGACAGTGTCATAATCAGTTCCATTAGGTTACACCGCCGTTCCAGAACATGGGTATACAGAATGTCAAGTCACAAGAATAGAAATGCGAAATTTCTCAGTTCAATATCGTGTATGGCCGCCCCGCGCATTCACCACAGCCAAACACCGTCTCCTCATCGACTGCCTGATGCTTGTGAACACGTGGTTGGGGATTCTGCGCCATTGCTCTTGCAAGGCAGCGCTAAGTTCCTGCAAATCCTGAGGTTGGTTCCTAAGACCACGAAGCCTTCTCCCAAGTGCATCCCAAACGTGCTCTATTGGATTAAGGTCAGGGGACCTCGATGGCCAGTCCATGACGTTGATTCCAGCGTTTTGAAGGAAATTTCGTGTCAACATCGCGGTATGCGGCCGAGCATTATCATGCTGGAACTGTAGACCTGGGCCATGAGCCGCCATGAAAGGAACGAGTTCAGGGGTGAGCATCTGGTCGCGGTAAGCAGCAGCTGTGAGGTTTCCACGGATGACCAGAAGACGGGAACGGTTGTTCCCACAGAAATCACCCCACACCATGCAACTTCCGCCCCCGAATCTGTCGACTTCCTGTACAACATTGGGCATACCGTTCAAGACTTCGTCTCCAGACTCTATGCCTGCCGTCCGCGAATCTGAGGGTAAACCTGGATTCCTCGCTAAAGACGACTCGATTCCAGTCTCTCTGGGTCCAACGGAGGTGCCGTTGGGCCCACAGCAGACGTTTACGTTGATGAAACGGCGTCAATATTGGCCCACGATATGGACGTCGAGAATGGAGATTGGCAGCCCGCAACCGATTTCGAATGGTCTGTGAGGACAGTCGACCTCTCAACATCTCAGCCCTTGTTCTTGTAGCCGGCAGAAATCTGTCACGTAGGTGACGAAGGACGATTTGACGGTCTTCTGCTCGTGACATCACACGTGGACGACCCGACCTTGGGCGATCAGAAGTGGTGCCAGTTTGTTGTAGATGACCTCGCAAGTCATACACAGTACGACGGCTGCATCCCATTGCTCTTGCGACGTCAATAACTGATCTTCCCGCTTGCAACATGCCAACGGCACGTTCACGTTGCACATTTGAAAATCGTGGCATTTCAAGTACCGTTAGTACTGTGGTTTAAAAGTGTTTTTTCAATTCTTGAGGCCAATGCAAACACGTGCATATGAAGAAAACTTCGATGCGAAGATCGCGTGATCGACTTCACGTGCCAAACCTGATTTGGCACTAACGTCATTTGCACGACGAATGGATGGGTTTGAGTGGGTTTTGCTAACGTTTTTCTAGAGTCGAAAGATAGGGATCCCATTTCGGATACATAGATGTATCATCAGAGAAAAATTATTCATTATTTTTAAAATTACATTTTGTGAAGTTTCTTTTTTGACTCAGTATATATGGGTGTTGCCCTAATTAATCCTTAATCCAGTGTCTGACAATTGGGATGTCTACCTGATGGGAGTAAATCACATGAACCAAATCTTCTGTAGCTCAATACACTAAAACAGTGAACAGTGATCTGCCTATCTGGGAATCAACGAAGTAAACATTGCACAAATCATATAGAAAATTATTGCCCATTTGGACATTGCTTTAGGAATTACCCTCAATATAAAGATATATATTGTATATAATCATCTGTATTGCTTAAGGAATGATCCTCAAAATAACATATATATGAAGATAGTCTATTGCTTAATTTATGCGGATACATGCAAGGATAACCCTTCTTCGCGATTGGAATTGATGTTTGTTTATTAGTGTTTTTAGCACTGTTGTTACATGGCTCATAAATCTAAGAATAGAATATTGTAATATAGGCAGCACATAACATAACAATATTCTTAGTCGTAAGTTTTTCCTTATTCATTCATATAGTTTTGCTGCTTTTCTGAGTTACAGGCCCCATCTTTTCACTTCTTTCTGATATGGATTAACAATTTGAAATCAAAGCAACTTACTTTCGCGATAGTAGATTGCGCCATGAGCGGGCGATGAACTGACGGTGACGAGAACGTCATACAAACTGCAAACGTCGCCTTCATGTCTGAGATACACGCAGTCTTGTTGGCGACAAAGACGTGCACACTGGCCAAGGCTGGAAATGATGGTTTGGGTGGTAGATGCTGATGCCGTAACTTCCATGTTGTCAAGACTTTCAATCCTGCGATAAAACGATCTTCCACAAATACACCCGCCAGCAATACTCATCACTAGCCAGCAGATGACCGCAGCAGTTGACGTGGCGTCCATGTTCCTCGGAGATGTGTTGCTTCTGTGCCTCCCGTTTGCGACACACACAGTAAATCTGTAGATCAATGCTGAAGCTAACCTTAAAAATCGCTAATGCACACAAGACCTATTCATGTCGTGTGAATCAACACATGCACTGGACACGACCGTCTAGGCGAGCTAAGCCTTTCATTGTCGACTTTACACCGGTAGACCACCCCTAAGTTGTCACCAACATATGAATAATGTACATGCATGATACAAAGTCAGTTCGATGGATGGGACATGGTGTATACAATGCCGCCTGGGGGTTCGGAGAACCTTCAGAAAACAACGAGGCATTGTACTTATATAATACAATATTAATGAAATAGAAATATCAGCGAGAGTAACAAAAGATAACCAACCTTAGAGCACCATATTCTTCTCAAGTAAACATCTACTTAGCTAAGAATGCCAAGATATATATTGATTGCCATTGCCAGAAACGATGGTTTTAAATATTGGTGTAGACTTTTAACTCTTCCAAGTTGTAGATTACCTCATCAGTTTTATCTAATGCTTAAGTCTTTGGATGAATCTGGACGGACGACATGGGCATCTCATATCAAGAATATTTTATTTAGATTTGGGTTTGGCTTTGTTTGGATTTCACAGGATATTGGAGATATTGATGGTTTCATATTTCTGTTTTTAAGCAAAGATTGTCTTATAATCTTTCACAAGATTGGTACTCATCCCTACATAGTACAGCCAAGTGTTCTAATTATATTCTTTTCAAGTCCCTCCTGAATGTTGAAACTTATCTCAGTTTAGGTATTGCCCCATATTTAAGAAATTGTTTAACAAAATTTAGATGCGGTAAATTTAAACTCAGTTCTGAGACCGGTAGATATAACAATGTCCCTTATTATTCAAGATTCTATCCTTTTTGATACAAAATAATCTTAATTTAATTGAAGATGAAATACATTTTTTACTTTATTGTAAAGCCTACTTAGATATAAGGAATAAGTTTCTGGGTAAATATTTGAAACATCCTATTCACAACACAGTTTTATAAACATAATGACTTCAAAAAACATAAATGTTATAAATAATTTGTGCCTATTTTTATATAATGTTGGAAAAAAAAAGAGATTCTGATGTTTTTATGTAAAACCAGGGATAATCTACAACATTACATAGTCTCCCTGGTAAAACGCATGTAACTTCTTATTATATTTATGAATGTATTTTGGGCCAGTGGCCTATTACTGAATAAAATGTCTGTCTGTCTGTCTGTCTGACACGATGGTTTTAACATCCATCTACGTATCTTGATGATCACGTTTTGATTTGTAGTATTTGGCTACAGCGAGCGGTAAACATTCGAGTCTGGACATTCGTCATACAGTCCCCGATATTCTTAGCATTGATTACCTGACTTTATTCGCATGTCGATTGTGTCCTTCTCTCATCAAGTATTACTTAGCATAAGCTCTAGGGATATTATTTTTCTGTTACGACGGCAGGAGATATACCGGTGACAAGACAGACATCGATCTGGCCCACCACTGAAACAGTGGAGTGTATAAAGGAATAGCTACTCAAAACCATACCAGACAAGAGAAACAAATCTGTATTACAATGGTTAAAGGATCCAGTTCCCAATGGACCTGGCAACAAACCATGTTTGCTTTGTGATTTCAGTTCTTTGGAAATTTCGCCTGAATATTTCGGATGCTGACTTGATCGGGGTTGTATTTCGTTTGTGAGTTGTGTAGTTGTTTGTTGAAATATGTACATATGCCATAGCTAATTTGCTCTGTCTACCAGGTATGTCGATATGCCCGATGTGTAATTAATACCGCCAAGGGCAATATTCCAGCTGCCCGAAAAATTTTACGATCCTGGACCAGACAATCCACTGAATGATGTTATGGCCTTCGCTCCATGTTGCAATGGTACGATGTCTCATCATATCCATATATAATTGCCCTTTACGAGTATTGTGCACATGCTTTATGATATGTATTGTGAATGCAATGTTTCACGAAGAAAATGATAAATGGTTTATGAACACTCTCCTCATTAGTTAGAAGTCCACTGTGCTGAGTGGCAAAGAATAAACATTTTTAATAGCTGAGTAGAAAACATGACCAGTTAAGTGCTTACCTGTGTGTATCAAAATGTTACATAGCAAATAGTGAACAGATTCTGAACTATGGTGGGTGGGTGGAAAACTCGGTATATGGAACTATGATTTCCAGCAATGGTTGAAGTATTTGTTATGGTATGAATAATGTAGTTGATCGCGTCTCACGACCGGTATATGTAAATAATGGCGTCCTCTAATTTGATCAGAATCAGACAATTGCTGGTGACGTCAAACATTACTGTATCAAAAGAAGGATGACGCCCGCACGTTAAATACTCATAAAAAATTACTAAAGACAATCCCTTCCAGTGTATTCAGTTCTATTAATTGACAACAGCCTTCTTTACAGTGTATTCTTTACGTGTAGATGTTCCTGTGGTCGGAATATTTGAGGGGGAATGCTGTATCTGATCGATTCAACACTCTTGCTCGTTTAAATATGAGTGTCAGTCTCACAATACCATCGAAATGTACGTTTTCAGTGTATCAGTCTAACTGACATTTGTGTGGCATTACAATAACTTCAAGTGTATCCCACCATCCAACGTTCCGTTTACCGTCCCAGGATATTATATAACATGGGGCCTTACTTGTCAGTATTGCAGAGTTTGACTGATGTAAAATTAAAGCATTTACAATTGTGTATCATTGGCTGTAATTCTGAATTCTGAGTGTAGTCTTTCCTGTAATCCAAACATATTTGGGGTTGAACCATACAAGAGACCGTTACGAGGACCCATATTAATAGTATTATCTATGATGTATAAGATTGCTCTGGGCCCAAAGATGATGCATAATTAATATTAGTATTTCAGGCCTACACCAGAAGACACCAGAAGACGCACCTGCTGTCAGTGCCAATGTGCACATGGTAAAGATGGTCAGCCCACACAACAATTATGGTTACAGCACAGCATAGAATTCAGGGCACCCTGTGGGCAATGCTGATCGTCGAAGGCGCCCTAAAATGACAGTCATACTGGTACAACATTCATACAATGTACTCCATCCTACCTCTATGTGGCAACTGTAGTACAACAACTGTGACACAGCAGATTGACTCCATCCTTGCTATCTCCACTGTAGCTGGGACACAGAAGGCTGTCTCCAGTACTTCTTAGGACACAGCAGACTGACTCCATCCTTGCTATCTCCGGTAAAAGTAGTACCCCACTGGGACACAGCAGGCTGACTCCATCCTTGTTATCTCCACTAACTGTAGTACCCCACTGGAACACAGCAGGCTGACTCCATCCTTGCTATCTCCGGTAACTGTAGTACCCCACTGGAACACAGCAGGCTGACTCCATCCTTGCTATCTCCACTAACTGTAGTACCCCACTGGAACACAGCAGACTGACTCCATCCTTGCTATCTCCGGTAAATGTAGTACCCCACTGGAACACAGCAGGCTGACTCCATCCTTGCTATCTCCACTAACTGTAGTACCCCACTGGAACACAGCAGACTGACTCCATCCTTGCTATCTCCGGTAACTGTAGTACCCCACTGGAACACAGCAGACTGACTCCATCCTTGCTATCTCCACTAACTGTAGTACCCCACTGGGACACAGCAGACTGACTCCATCCTTGCTATCTCCACTAACTGTAGTACCCCACTGGGACACAGCAGACTGACTCCATCCTTGCTATCTCCACTAACTGTAGTACCCCACTGGAACACAGCAGACTGACTCCATCCTTGCTATCTCCACTAACTGTAGTACCCCACTGGGACACAGCAGGCTGACTCCATCCTTGCTATCTCCACTAACTGTAGTACCCCACTGGGACACAGCAGACTGACTCCATCCTTGCTATCTCCGGTAACTGTAGTACCCCACTGGGACACAGCAGACTGACTCCATCCTTGCTATCTCCACTAACTGTAGTACCCCACTGGGACACAGCAGACTGACTCCATCCTTGCTATCTCCACTAACTGTAGTACCCCACTGGAACACAGCAGACTGACTCCATCCTTGCTATCTCCGGTAACTGTAGTACCCCACTGGGACACAGCAGACTGACTCCATCCTTGCTATCTCCTCTAACTGTAGTACCCCACTGGGACACAGCAGGCTGACTCCATCCTTGCTATCTCCACTAACTGTAGTACCCCACTGGGACACAGCAGACTGACTCCATCCTTGCTATCTCCACTAACTGTAGTACCCCACTGGGACACAGCAGACTGACTCCATCCTTGCTATCTCCACTAACTGTAGTACCCCACTGGGACACAGCAGACTGACTCCATCCTTGCTATCTCCACTAACTGTAGTACCCCACTGGGACACAGCAGACTGACTCCATCCTTGCTATCTCCGGTAACTGTAGTACCCCACTGGGACACAGCAGACTGACTCCATCCTTGCTATCTCCGGTAACTGTAGTACCCCACTGGGACACAGCAGACTGACTCCATCCTTGCTATCTCCACTAACTGTAGTACCCCACTGGGACACAGCAGACTGACTCCATCCTTGCTATCTCCGGTAACTGTAGTACCCCACTGGGACACAGCAGACTGACTCCATCCTTGCTATCTCCACTAACTGTAGTACCCCACTGGGACACAGCAGACTGACTCCATCCTTGCTATCTCCACTAACTGTAGTACCCCACTGGGACAGCAGACTGACTCCATCCTTGCTATCTCCACTAACTGTAGTACCCCACTGGGACACAGCAGACTGACTCCATCCTTGCTATCTCCGGTAACTGTAGTACCCCACTGGAACACAGCAGACTGACTCCATCCTTGCTATCTCCGGTAACTGTAGTACCCCATTGGAACACAGCAGACTGACTCCATCCTTGCTATCTCCACTAACTGTAGTACCCCACTGGGACACAGCAGACTGACTCCATCCTTGCTATCTCCACTAACTGTAGTACCCCACTGGGACACAGCAGACTGACTCCATCCTTGCTATCTCCACTAACTGTAGTACCCCACTGGAACACAGCAGACTGACTCCATCCTTGCTATCTCCGGTAACTGTAGTACCCCACTGGGACACAGCAGA